AATCCAGTCACTTCAAGGATCCCATCCATCCATCCATCTTCACTTCACTTCATTTCTTAATTAGTCGCTCTCCACCAAGGTGCTCCGAGCGACTTACAATCTAAAATAGCATTTACACAATATAAAAACATTCAACATAAAAACAGTCACTTCAAGGATACCATCCATCCATTTTGCCCTTGGTCTGCCCCTCTTCCTTTTGCCTTCCACTTTCCCCAGCATAATTGTCTTCTCTAGGCTTTCCTTTCTTCTCATGATGTGGCCAAAGTACTTCAACTTTGTCTCTAGTATCCTTCCCTCCAATGAGCAGTCTGGCTTTGTTTCCTGGAGTATGGGCTGGTTGGATCTTCTGGCGGTCCAAGGCACTCTCAGAACTTTCCTCCAACATCAGAGTTCAAAAGCATCTATCTTCCTTCGCTCAGCCTTCCCTATGGTCCAGCTCTCACATCCGTAGGTGACTACATAAAACTACAAATCCCTGCATTCCACCACTTTGAGCCATGGCAGTTAAAGTGGTGTCAACAGTGTAGATGAGTGGTTCTCAACCTGTGGGTCCCCAGGTGTTTTGGCCTACAACTCCCAGAAACCCCAGCCAGTTTACCAGATGTTAGGATTTCTGGGAGTTGAAGGCCCAAACATCTGGGGACCCACAGGTTGAGAACTACTGGTGTAGATGCACCACAAGACATGCTTTTGTTGTAGTTTCCGACCTGCAGTGACCCTATGACTGGAAAGATTGTTCAGAAGAGGTATACTTACTTGGAATGAAAAGCCATTGGATTTGGCAGGCCTTCTTTCCTAGGTAATAAACTGACTAGTTTTCAAAGCAGCATCATACTCTTTGCCATTGATGTCTATTGAAGCCGATTACACTGGGCTGGTGTCTCTCCTCCTCCTTACTTGAGAGCAAGTCCTACCGAGCGTTGCTAGACTTACTTCGGAGTAGAACGTGGATGCAAATCCATTGCCTTGAGCTTCCTTTAGGCCTCAAAACAAATCCCCCCAGAAACAACAGAAGCCGGGTAAGAGGGATTCAAACTTCCATCTTCTCGCGGCAGCCTGGGAGTTCTGAAAGTCTCGCGAGAGGAGGCCCTGTCCCACCGAGTAACGAAGCCGGGTGAGTAACAAAAGCTTTGGTTTTCTAGTTCCGGGGACGGTTATTCTACAGAACAAATGCGCAATTCCTGGCGTCAAACTGTTGGGATTATACATTAATCGGCCTGGTGTTATTTTTAAAACATTTTTACATAGCGTCCTTAATCCGATTTAGAATTCTGGCTGGTATATAAAGCCATTTTAATAACACATACACGCGGAATAATAAAACATTTGTAGCATTTTTTTAAAAAAAAAGACGGGCTAGATTATAATTACAGACCTGAGCAAGAAGGCTATGGAAGAGGGTGACCGAGGCTGCATCTACACTGTGGAATTAAGGCAGTTTGACACCACCTTAACGGCCATGGCTCAATGATATGCAATTGTGGGAGTTGTAGCTTTAAAAGATATTTTAACTTCTGCCAAAGCTACAAATCCCAGCATTCTATAGCATTGAGCCAAGACAGAGTGGTGTCAAACTGCATTAATTCCACAGTGTAGGTGGGCCTTTTTCGTAGGGTTGCCTTAGAATAGACTGAGGTCAACTTGAAGGCAGTTCACAATACATTTGAAAGTTTTTTTCCCTATCTCCAAGGAGTTCAATGCTACAATATCCATTATACATCCCATGCGATTTTAGTCTAGTGGGTTTCTTTGCCTTCTTTCAATTGGATGTGAGTATTTCAAAACTTTCCAGGAGCTCTTTTTTCTCCTCTGGGAACTGTGCTTCCCACCATGCCCAGGTCGCTTCTGTAGCGAGAGAATCAGCCGTCTACGAAGACGTTGCCCAGGGGACGCCCAGATGTCTTGCAATCCTGCGAGGAGGCTTATCTCACCACACTAAAACAGTGGATGTGGCTTTTAATGAGACATGACGCATTATCACGGGGTGTCTGCGCCCTACACCACTGGAGAAATTACACTGCTTAGCCGGTATTGCACCACCTGATATCCGCCGGGAAGTAGCAACCGATAGTGAAAGGACCAAGGCAGAGACATCTCCAGCTCATCCCCTGTTTGGGTATCAGCCAGCACGTCAACGACTTAAATCTAGACATAGTTTTCTAAGATCTACAGAGACACTCACTGGAACACCTCAGCAAGCGAGAGTCCAAAAGTGGCAGGCTCAAACCCAGAACCTCAACCAATGGCTGATACCAAATGAGAGACTATCCCCTGGGCACACAGAGGACTGGGCGACTTGGAAGGTGCTGAACAGACTGCGCTCTGGCACCACGAGATGCAGAGCCAACCTTCAGAAATGGGGCTACAAAGTGGAATCCTCGACATGCGAATGTGGAGATGAGCAAACCACTGACCACCTGTTGCAATGCAACCTGAGCCCTGCCACATGCACAATGGAGGACCTTCTTGCAGCAACACCAGAAGCACTCCAAGTGGCCAGATACTGGTCAAAGGACATTTAATCAACTACCAAACTCACAAATTTTGTATTATGTCTGTTTGTTTGCTTTGTTCTGTTAGAAATGTAATATAATTGACTGGCTGCCCTGACACGAGAAATAAAAAATAAAAACCATGCCCAGGATGGTAGTATTGGAATTCAAACCCCCCCCCCCCCCCCCCCCCCCCACACACACACACTGCCCAAGTCTCAAGTCCTCAATGAGGAACATCTTCTCTACCATATAATGCAATCTGAAACAGTATGATATGCTAAGTGTAGACTCAAATAATGCAGCTCAATTAAATTAAATTGCATTATATGAGTTTCCACTGACCATATAATGCTGTTTGTAATTGCACTATATGGTAGTGTAGATGGCGTTTTAATCTTCAAAAACTATATACTTAAAAAGAATAAGCTGTTGACAAGTCCATCACTGGGAAACTTTTCTATAATTGTGTCTCTGTATTTGGGATTAAATATAACAGCAGCTACTGGAAGCAGAGAACGGCTAAGGCTGAGCATCATATGTCTTCCCACAAGCAAACGGAGGCCCCTTCTACACTATATTTAGATTATCCAAGCAGCTAATTGATATTATCCAAGCAGATAATTGACAGTTAAAGTGAAAGCAGATAATTAACACCTGCTTTGAACTGGATTATATGAGTCTACATTGCCATATAATCAATTTCAAAGCAAATAATCTGGATTTTATATGACAATGTAGAAGGCGTGTGTGGGAGAACCGAAACCGCAAGTTTAGAGTATTTTTTATTGTCTAAGGAAAAAGGTTATTTGTGTGCGTGTAGTGCAGATGATTAGGTTTAACCACAATAGTAACGTTCGTTCCCTACTCTCAGTTTCTTTATTCTATAGGCAGTGAAAGTGCTATCAGTGTGTGCCTCAAGTTGCCGGTCCATTTATGGTTATAATGAATTCCATAGTGTTTTCCTAGGAGCCTACCACACTACACTGTTACAGTCGTGGGAGTTGACTTGACTTTTGGGAGTTGTAGTTGCTGGGATTTATAGTTCATTTACAATCACAGAGCATTCTAAACACCATCAAGAATAGAATTGAGCCAAACTTCCTACACAGAACCCCCATGACCAAGACAAAATACTGTGTTTTCTGATGATCTTTGGCGACCCTCCTAGAGGTCCCGATCCGCAGGTTGAGAAACACTGTCCTAGATGGTTCATAAGGGGAGATGCGTCCGGACATGTAGGTTGGGCCAGAACCGTTAGCATCCAGGATCAGAAGGGACCTATCATAGAATCATAGAGTTGGAAGAGACCTTATGGGCCATCTAGTCCAACCCCCTGCCTAGAAGCAGGAATATTGCATTAAAAGCACCCCTGACTGATGGCCATCCAGCCTCTGTTTAAAAGCCTCCGAAGGAGCCTCCACCACACTCCGACTGCTGAACAGCTCTCACAGTCAGGAAGTTCTTCTTCATGTTCAGATGGAATCTCCTTTCTTGTAGTTTGAAGCCATTGTTCTGTGTCCTAGTCTCCAGGGAAGCAGAAAACAAGCTTGCTCCCTCCTCCCTGTGACTTCCTCTCACATATTTATACATGGCTATCATGTCTCCTCTCAGCCTTCTCTTCTTCAGGCTAAACATGCCCAGCTCCTTAAGCCGCTCCTCATAGGGCTTGTTCTCCAGACCCTTGATCATTTTAGTCGCCCTCCTCTGGACACATTCCAGCTTGTCAATATCTCTCTTCAATTGTGGTGCCCAGAATTGGACACAATATTCCAGGTGTGGTCTAACCAAAGCAGAATAGAGTGGTAGCATTACTTGCCTAGATCTAGACACTATGCTCCTATTGATGCAGGCCAAAATCCCATTGGCTTTTTTTGCCGCCACATCACATTGTTGGCTCATGTTTAACTTGTTGTCCACGAGGACTCCAAGATCTTTTTCACACTTACTGCTCTCGAGCCAGGCATTGTCCCCCATTCTGTATCTTTGCATTTCATTTTTCCTGCATTTGTCCGTTGAACTTCATGCCTTTAGTGTAGGCATGCTCAAACTGTGGCCCTCCAAATGGTCAGGAATTTTTCCTGCATGTATCTTGCATTTGTCCCTGTTGAACTTCATGCCTTTAGTACGGGCATCCTCAAACTGTAGCTCTCCAAATGGTCAGAAACTTTTGGAGGCCCAAACAGCTGGAGGGACACAGTTGGAGGGTGCCTTGCTGTAGGGCAGTGCTGTTCAACCTGAGGGCCCCCAGATGTTTTGGCCTTCAACTCCCAGAAAGCCTAACAGCTGGTAAACTGGCTTGGATTTCTGGGAGTTGTAGGCCAAAACACCTGGGGACCCACAGGTGTGGGGTTAAGGCTTTGTGCTGGATCCCTTTTAGTAGATGCACTCTAACCAGGCTGCATGAAACTGGAGATTGGGGGAGAAGGAGAGAGATCGGCCAGTCTAGCCTTGCCTCTCTATGTTGACTTTGTCTGCGCTTGTACTTCAGGAAGCGGAAGTAGGTGTCTCTGACCCAGCGGAAGTGGTTTCGACGAGGGAGGGGGGAGTCTTTTTCCCGGTTGGGGAACCGCCAGGGGTTCCTGAGAAGCAGCACCGCCGGGCCAGGAAGAGGTGAGTCCCCGCCAGTGGGAGCCTTTCTTTTCCTGCCCTGTGGGACTTCGGTGGAGGAAGGAGAGAAGTTCCTGCTGCCGGGAAGCGGAAGCCCCACAACGTGGCCCTTTCCCCCCTTCTTCCGAGCAGGATTTAACATAAACGCCGCCCATAAGAGAGCCCTTCCTTGGCCTGCCTTGGGATATATTTTCAGACTTCGGGAGGAACACAGAGAGCCTCAGCCTCACCTTCCTACACCAGGTATGGGCAAACTTCGGGCCTTCCCTCCAGGTGTTTTGGACTCCAACTCCCACAATTCCTAACAGCCGGTAGGCTGTTAGGAATTGTGGGAGTTGGAGTCCAAAACACCTGGAGGGAAGGCCCGAAGTTTGCCCATGTCTGATCAATACAGTAGAATTAATGCCATTTGACACATCTTGCTCTATACTATGGGATGTTGGGAGTTGTAGTTTGGTGAGGCACCAGCACTCTTCACCAGAGAATGCTCATGATTACAACTCGCATAATCCAATAGTAGTTAAAGGGGTGTCAAACTGGTGTCAGTGCCCCTTTTTCCCATTTAGTTTTGTTTGTTGTTCATTCGCTCAGTCGTTTCCGACTCTTTGTGACCTCATGGACCAGCCCACGCCAGAGCTCCCCGTTGGTCGTCACCACCCCCAGCTCCTTCAAGGTCAGTCCAGTCACTTCAAGGATGCCATCCATCCATCTTGCCCTTGGTCGGCCCCTCTTCCTTTTTCCTTCCATTTTCCCCAGCATCATTGTTTTCTCTAAGCTTTCCTTTCTTCTCATGATGTGGCCAGAGTACTTCGTCTTGGCCTCTACTATTCTTCCCTCCAGTGAGCAGTCAGACTTTATTTCTTGAAATATGGACTGGTTGGATCTTCTCGCTGTCCAAGGCACTTTCCTCCAATACCACAGTTCAAAAGCATCTATCTTCCTTCGCTCAGCCTTCCCTATGATCCAGCTCTCACATCTGTAGGTGACTATGGGGAATATCATTGCTTTAACTATGCGAATCTTTGTTGCCAGTGTGATGTCTCTACTCTTCACTATTTTATCAAGATTGGTCATTTAGTAGAGAGCTTAAAAGATCTATATAAATAAAAATGCAATGTTCATTTGTAGGATTAACATAACTCAAAAATCACTGGACCAATTGACACCACATTTGCACACGATGCACCTATCAGGCCGACAAGTGACCATCACTCATAAAAACAATGAAAAACACAGCAGAAGATACTTAGAAAGCCAAAAAAAAACATTACAATGCATGCATAAAACCATATATACACACACAAAACATATATATACAGACTGGGCCACAGCAACATGTGGCAGGGGACGGCTAGTATAATATAAACTATTAGTATCCACCACATGTGATGCAATGACTACAGCACCCTCTTATTGATTCTCCTTTCTTCCACAAACACACTTTGGCTTTGTTTGTGATAGGAGGCAACACCAGTTTCTGGAACAGCTTCCCTTCTTTTGTTGTTTTTGCATGTTTTCAACTAGTTTCCAACTTACAGCGACTCTCGCAAGGGGTTTTCTGGGGCTGAATCAATCAAATCAATCAAAACTTTATTGTGGTCCATGATCAGCACAGAGTGGGCCACAAACATCGTGGGAAGGGGAAACGCAGTTCCCTAGAGAGGCTGTCATGAAAAATATTAGAAAACAGGGTTTTTTAAAAAAACACGCACAATGCTGTTTAAAGACACAATCAACACCTCTAATAGGTATATGTGGCCTTGGGCTGTATGTGACACACCCAAGGCCCCTGTCAAGTGCAGGCATCCTCAAAAGGCAGCCCTCCAACTATTTGAGCCTCCAACTCCCAGAAACCTTAGCCATCTTGTTCAATTGTCAGGAATTCTGGGAATTGGGGGACTGCATTTTGAGGAAGTCTGCCCCAGTGGGCTTACATGATCAAATGGGGAATTGAATCCTGTTCTTCAGAATTGTAATCCAATGCTCAAACCACTACACTATGTTGGCTTTGCCCTCATTTTCCTGGATCTCAGTGTCTGTTGTGTCTTACTTGTAACTGGCTTCTAATGCTTTCATTCAGATAGAATTCAACATGATTGGGAGAAGAAAGATGACGTGATGGAGACCCCTTCCCAGGTGTCTCAGAAAGCAAGCTTTTAGTGAATAGTGAAGATATAAGTCAAATCTTCTGCAGGCAGGGTTATAATAATATGTTAGAAACTTCCCTTTAGTTGTTCACAACTGTTTCTCAATCTAATTTTTTAAAAACAAAGCAACAAAAGAACAAAGTCATACCACCATAAGTTTAAGAACTGTTGTTAGTTACTTCAACTCAAGTAAAACCCTCTTTGCTGCTGCTTAAAAATAATCAAAGTTGGTGTGCTCTCTCTCCTCATATGCATCATGACATAGGGTCATGATTACTTTGTCTCCAGGATCTAGGTTTAGCCTTAAGTCATACTCAAAAACAAAGTTCTGTGTGTGTCTTTTCATTTTAAACAAGTTTTATGATAGTTTAAGAAATTGATGAAGAGGAAATTAACATCCATTCTTATTAGAGTTCTTAATTCTTAATTTTTAAAATCTTAATGTGCCAATTTTATCATTGTTTTACTGTTTTGGGTAAAATACAATCGATGATGACAATTTGTGGGTTCCTTGGTTTAAAATGTGGATATAAATAAATAATGCGGTTTTCCTACAGAAATCTCTGAAATCTCCCGTTTTTGGCCAATTATGCTTCCATTTAAAATTGCAACTCAGCTGTTTTCTTTGTATTTGAAGTTAAATGGAAACAGTATGAACACTGCCCCACTATAAAATAATTGTAAATAATTGTATTGTTAATTAATTGTTAGTCAAAACAAATTTGCTTGGGTTGCCATTTGTTAAATTTATTTTGTACCAGGCCTTATATGGGAGCAGTGTGCTTAGGAGAACTTGGACATTCAAGCTGAAATGGTCCAAGAAACATTTTGAACTACAGATGTCAAATTAAAGCCCCTTATTTATCTTAACTGATCATTATTCTTGCATAGAAACAGAATAATCAGTGTGCCTATTCATTCATCAGCAGATATTAAAATGGCTTCATAAGTATGCCTATGTTTGCGTAAGGAATTGGTAATTTAGAATAGGGAACTGGAACCAAGAATCTTGTTCAACTTTGTACTCAACTACATTTCCCACACTGCTCCCAACTAATATAGTTACTTACTCCAGATCCCTTTATATGAGCTTTTAAAAAGCCTATACGCTGCGTAGTCCTAGATAATCTGCAGTGCTTCTGTTGCTGACTTTAGTAAATAGCTGTTGATCCAGCATTCTTCCAGTGAATAGAAATAAAGCTGACATATCAGTTTACTTGCAGTGAAACTTTACTACTGATTTACTAAGCCGAAGGTATAAACATGGCACTTGTTATATAGTGTGGGAAAAGAGAAGACAACTTTTATAGGTACATTTGGAGAAGTCATAAAAATGCTTGATGGACGGTTTTGATGCAAACAGTATGCATTCAGGAAACATCAACCCTGCATCCCATTGTATGTTAAAAAAGGAGCACTTGTCTCCTATCTCAGAACTTTCTCGAAGAAATAGCAGAAGATAACAAGGTCCATTTGAAAGTTGTGGTGATAAAAGCTGGATCCAGTTAAGAAAAGTCAAGGGGCTCTTCCACACAGCTATATAACCCAGAATATCAAGGCAGAAAATCCCACAATATGATTTTTGAACTGAGTTATCTGAGTCCACACTGCCATATATTCCAGTTCAAAGCAGATCATGTGGGATGTTATTCAGCTGTGTCGAAGTGGCCAAGGTATACATCTAAGGCAAAACATTACCATTCCCTTATGCACACATGAAACAAAAAGTAGTCATATTGTATTTTAGGGTCTCAAAGAAGTTGCAGCCGTTTGTTATGACATAAATGGAGATTAATTTTGCCTATGCTTGATCAGTGCTCCTTTGTTATTAGTATCATGTCCAGTCATAGCTTGCTAATAAGATTTTAAGTTGTATTGTAATGCTTTTAATTGTGAGTCGTTTTGAGTCTCCGTATGGAAAGAAAAAGGGGGATATAAATAAACATAATAAATAAACAATAAATAAGAATATTATTTTGAAACAATGGCGTCTGTATGTGCTTTAGAGATTACATGGTATGGCGATTCATGATGCTGATGGTTTGAAAAGAGCCCCCTTATTAGCTAAGTACTTTTTTGAGGTTGGGAAAAGATACAGGAAAAGCATTTTGAAAAAAGATGGTGGGGGAAGACCCAAAGTTCTCCAAGTGTAGGAGTGATAAGTTGCTTAGCTTTGTTTGAGGATTTTTAATATGGATAATTTGTAAAAAGGGAACCACAATCTTTGAAAATGTAATTATGAATAAATTTATTTTTATCTGTTTATCACATCAAAGACCCTTGTGTGAGACATCATAAATATTTTAATAAACAAATTACTTCAATACACTCCTCAAATTTCAGAGGGAATTAACTGACTGGATGAAGAGGTAGACTGTATGTACTGCATGTCATCTTCTGACAGACTGATCAGCATTCATAACTGGCAAATGAATGTGTCTCATGTCTCTTGTGCTAACTCATGTGATGTTTAAGTTGCCTTTATCTCGTGGTGACTTATTTAAAGTATACAATGGATTCATATAGGTCACACTTATTTTGGCCTCTGGGACATGGAAAACTGCTTTATACTAGGTCAGAGCCTTGGTTCATTTAGATCAGTATTGTTAGTTCTGATTGTGCTTTGCCCTGTGATTGATTGGCTATCATGGATAAAAGATGTAAAATCTGAGACACTCGCTGAATCTCATAACTTCACAGGGTCTTGAACTGCTATGCTTGTTTGAGATCTGTTGGTATGAATTACTACATTGGCATAGCTTTCTTGTGTATGTCTTCCCACTGTTATTCTTACATTGTATTAATTTTCCAAAAGCCAGTTCATTTTAAGTTGGTGTATTTCAACTAGTTGCTGGGGGAAATGGAAGGAAAAAGGAAGAGGGGCTGACCAAGGGCAAGATGGATGGCATCCTTGAAGTGACTGGCTTGACTCTGAAGGAGCTGGGGGAGGTGATGGCCGACAGGGAGCTCTGGCGTGGACTGGTCCATGAGGCCACAAAGAGTCAGAAACAACTGAATGAATGAACAACAATTTCAACTATTGCTTTTGTTTTGTTTTGAAGTACTTCAAAATAGGTCATCCTACTTATTTTGTGTTTTTATGGTAAGGACTAGCCCCTTTTTGACCCTGGAGATAAACTGTCATTTAGTCAAGAATCATATATATTATCCATGAATGACTCAAGTCAACATCTGAGTAATTTAATTCAGTACCATCTGAATATTCTCAGATAGTTTAAGTGCAGCCCCCCTTTCTCCTATAAAGTGCAGTGTAATACAGTAATCTCAATGTGATATTAATAGAAAATATTTGACAGTAAAGAGCCAAATGGTGCAATGCGAGTCACAGTTTTTTAAAGGAAAGCAGTGGCAAATATCTGATCCCATCATAGGGTTGCCACAAGTTAGTTAACTTGTAGTCACATAGCAAGAACAGTGTATGACCATAGATCTGGAAACTAAAGCTTGAAAAATATACTTTTTAGACTATCACTCCATAATCCCCCAATCATTGTGATCAGTGACCTATTGAACTAGATTTATCTAATTAGATGTAGGATTTAAATTGAGTTGTTGGATTCATTGGTATAAAATGTCCAGATGACGTTATGTTTGCACGTGGCCTTTTTCTTGATCATTTGACTTCTAATTGCATAGCAAGAGTTTAGGATAACCTTGGTCTTGACTTGGAAGGGTGGTACAGTAAACACAGTTAACTTGTTTCTAATTAACTTCAAAGCAGTTCTAGAAAGAACTGCCGTTAGTGACCTTATATCTCTTTACAGTCTTTGATTGCTTTCAACAATGAACTTGAATGTGAATGTACTTTTCCATTTGTTTTCAGATCCTGTTTGTAAATCAGTAAAGGCTAAGAACCAATCATTTGATAAGGAGAGATGGGTATGTATTGTGAAAAATATCCTTCATAAGTAGATTTGCTTTGTAAGCATGGTTAATGAGATTTGAGAGAAGGAATTACTGCAATGATTACATTTTATTTGATATTTACCGTAGTATATATCCATCTTTCACCTTACAATACACGGTTCCAAGATAAGTTACAAACACCTGCAAAAACAAGGTATAAAAATTATTTTTACAGAAGTTTTAAAATTGTTTTAAAAACACAAGGTTAAAAAAGTATGACAGACAACTAAAATATAGTGAAAATAGATAAAAACACAACCTTCCTTCAAAAATCTTAAAACTTAGGCAGGCTCACATGGGGAGATAAGGTCTTTCAGACTTGAATATATGTGGACTGCCTTCTGCTTTTCGGTTTCTGTGACACCGTGACACTCCTTTGATGTTAGGGTTGTTACTTGTTTTTTGAGCTCTGCTTTCAGAAAATCAGAATTTAACTAAAATTAAGCACAGATTCAGAGAGACACTTGAAAATTATTTAGAAAGGCAAATCCTCACTATCCCATGTGTTGTGATAAGTTCGTCCATGAGTTTGCATCTTACAGGTACAGATATCAGATATCTGTGTTCATTTTATAGTTCTATTATATTTGTTTTTCCCCAGTTTAGGACTCAGATTGGAACACAAAAAATTAAAAAACACATTTTTTAAAATATTCAAAGGGTACAAAAATTAAAACAATATTTATAAGTAACCAATTAAAACTTGATAAAAACATTAAAAACACACTATCACAACAAATGCAATACATTTCTTTCCCACTCTTATATTTTTCTATGTATAGTAGTAAAAATGAAATTAAATTAAAAATGTGGGGAAGTATGAAAGGAGGAAACAGATTGCAACCCTTTCCAGTGCTGTTTTTAGAATGCTAAAATTATATGCTTTCTTGTTTGCTTATTTAGAAATGTTTTCAGCTGTGAATTGTTTTGCATGTCCATGTCTGTTATATGCAGAAAGAAAAACATTTGAAAGCTATATGGTACCAAAAAATTGAAAAAAAAATCAATTATTTTTAAGCATAGTCAATTAGCACTGCATTTTATATTCATATGATGAGAGAAATAATTACAGGTCTTCCTGATTGATCTAATGATTTTCAGATTACAGTAATAATTTGTAATATCTGCTTAACATTAGGAAGGGCAGAACAATTTAAAGATAAAAGTTTTTATGACTTTTTGAATTTCTTCCTGCATTAGTCTTTATAGCATTCTTGTAGTTTTTAAAAAATCATTTCTATGATATTAGACTTCATTTCTCAGTCTTCTAGTCTGCATGTATTGAACTGACACAACTGTGTATTTTAGATGGAGAAGAGAAAACATATGGTGGGTGTGAAGGCCCTGATGCTATGTATGTAAAACTGATATCCTCTGATGGTCATGAATTCATTGTTAAACGAGAACATGCACTCACATCAGGAACAATAAAAGCTATGTTGAGTGGCCCAGGTATGTGCAACCAGACTATAGACCTGAATAAATTTATATATTTTTGGACTTAATGGAGGGTTTTTAATGCCAATAATGAGTACTAGAATAAACTGCATGCTACATCAGTTTCCTTATTGACTGGGCAGATTTTAGCATGATAGTTTTGTCAAAAGTCATATTGAAGCAACTAGAAGTGCAGTAACCCACAGATCTTTTAAAAATAAGTGTATTCTGGAATATAAAGATTTATCAAAGGTTCTTATGTCCCTGCTCTTAAGTTATTCAAAATTAACATCCTGCTGAATCTGATTTCTTTGTAAAATTTAGCGATTCTTAAGATTGATTCTATAGCTTCCACAGCAAAAGTTGGAAAGAGATTTCAAGAAAACAAAAATGGCATGGAGAAATTATGGCACACAATTTTAGGCATAACTGTAGTTTTGGTTTTCCTATCAAGGAGTTCAGGACAACATTTGTAGTCCTTATTTTATTCTCACATCAACCTTTTGTACATTTGACATGCTTTGCAGCATACCATTGGTTTGAATTTAAATCTCCCTAGTCTTGTGATCTACTCTATCCATTATACTACTTGTGCATACATACAGATATTTGCCACAGTAGAAAATAGCATGGGAAATTGGGCAAAATCTAGTTAATTTGGGTATAAGTATTTGGAGGTATGATATACAAGTATGAAAGAACGACACCCTTTCGCTCAAATGTTATGCAGAATATTTTTGTTTGAAAGTAATTATCTGAAAGATTACTTGAGAAACTTTCCAGAGTTGTAAAAGTGGCGTGTTGTGTATGTAAAGGAAGGGGTGGATAAAAGTGGGTGATTGACATTCAAGAAAAACAAGTCCAAAACCCCTTTGGGCATCTAGAATAATTAAGCAATTTTATGGAACCAGCCATTATGTACTAGGCTTTTCAACTCAGTACATAGGCTTGTTCCAAAATTCACTTGTGTTTGCGTCGTATTCTGAATATGAAATCATTTTACTCAAATCTGTCCTAAGAGGACCATTTCAAGTAAGAACTGTCATAAGAAGTGATTTGGCGGGATTGTTCTTTTAATAAAGTATTTAATACAGCACTTTGAGTAGCAAATTGGAAATTTTTCTTATTGTTTTACCATAAAGGATTTCTAAAGCACAATGGAAGTGTATCCTGTGTGAAATCCTCAGGTTCAAACAAGAAAGGGCAGTATTGATCACATGCTGTTTTGTAAAAATGTTTATTTTGTGGAAGATTTGTATGCTTATTCAGTGTCCTTTTCTCTCTCTTTCGTACAGGACAATTTGCTGAAAATGAAACAAATGAAGTAAATTTTAGAGAGATTCCTTCCCATGTCCTATCCAAAGTATGCATGTATTTCACCTACAAGGTTCGCTACACTAACAGCTCCACAGAGATCCCAGAATTTCCTATTGCACCTGAAATTGCGCTGGAATTGCTGATGGCTGCAAACTTCCTAGATTGTTAAATAAAATAAATTATAATAAAAATGTAAACTTCCCTCAGTATTTAAAACATGTAGTTCAGTTAGTATCTTTTTTTTTTCATCTAGCATGTTCTGTATTTTTGGTTAAGAAATGTAATGGTCACAGTTGCTGACAGTGATTTTGCATATGGCCCATTCATGATCAGATTTTGTTTTGGTGCTTACACAAGTCACAGACTTACTACCAACTGACAAATAAACAAACATGCCAATTAGTGGATGACTTTGCTTTATCCTTTAGTGATGTCAGAGAACTATTTTTAACGCAACAGTCACCAAAATTCGATAAATTGTTTCTAACAGCAGACTGCTATGGCTGCAATCCTGTATCTACTTACGTACAAGACTTGCAGATCTATCTAGATGCATAGGATGGTTCTGTTAAAATGTTTGTGGCCTGTTCCCCCCACCTTTTTTTTTTTTGGTTTGGCCTTTTATATTGTCCAAATATTCAAACTGTCTGAGCATATTAAACTGATTCCCACTGGCATGTTAAATATTTTTCCTTCAGCAAATATTAAATACTGTGTTCTTGTAACCTTTTGCCTGAATGTCCATAATATTAATAGGTATTACTGTGTTTACATGGTAGACTATCACAATCTTTTGTCGCTACTGTAAGATATTAATTACTGTCAAAGGCTGTGAAATATGAAGGTGGTAGAAGTAACTCTCTCACTGCCCTGCTCTTCAGTTGTGGAGGGAATTATTTTTTAAGAGACTAGTTTACTGGTTAATACAAAAATATTATGTAGAGAAGACAATAGCTGAAATGTGATCCACTGTATGATGCAATCTGGGTCTAGAATTTGTTGTGCTGTGAAATCTCTACATATATCTTGAGAGCTATGGATACCTCCTTCCCTGAAGGGCAAGGTGGCTATTGTATTTATCTGTTAGAGATGGTGTTTCTACTATCCTCATAGTTGTATTCATGGACTCAGAACCTCAGAATGATCAAGAGGCAACTCCATATCTTTAGAATACATTTTCACCTTGTTGACTTCAGGCTTTTCCTCTTGCCTTCCTTGCTAAATAAGGAATAGGAAATTCAAAGGGGAACTGTCTTGTGACAGAAAATCTCTTTGGAATATCCCACTCCTAAGTGTTCTTTAAACATGAAATGACATAATGCTTTGGTGATGTGAGACATTCTACAATTCCATTGAGGTATATTGTGAGATATGGCCTGGCATCACTGTAAATTATGGTTGCTTTGCAACTAATTAACAAAGAAAGATGCATGTATAACCTCCATAAGAGCAGGTATAAGGCGAAACAGATATACAGTGGTGGACAAAATCATCCTGTAAGCTTATGGAACTATCAAACTATCCCATCGATTTGTAAAAATATGCAAGTTATAGGAATACTTTTAATCTGAAACCAAGTGTTGTCTCACTGTTATCATTATAATAGTATAAGCCTACAATTTCACCTCACAAAGTTTTCATGCATGTTTCCTTTGTCACAGAAGCCTTCTTATCCTTATTTATCTTCCATTAGCATTTAGTGAATTTTGCTTTGGTCATTATGATGTCATATCTGCTTTGGTTGTTCAGATTACATGAAAACTCAGGTATACAGAAATATTTTTTCTACTGCTGATGTTCCAGTACAGCCCAGTGAAGGAGCCCACAAAAAGTTACTAGCTTATGAAATGCTTAGAATCCTGCTGGGGACTGGTAAAGAAATAGACACCAGAGTTTCCTGTGTGAATGGTTTCTATATTGGTACTGCAGAGGTTTGGAGTGTACTGTCCCCTCTCACTATGCAATTCCTATGGCAATCAATCTTGTCCTTCAATTCAACATCAGTGTGATGTCTGCAGCACTTTGGAGAATCTGCTATATGCATGTGTAAACAAAGGCACAAACAGAACTCTTGAGACAGGCCCTCTGAAACACTGAAGGGGTTAAAACTGCAAAAGCTTGACAGATTTCAATATATAACTTACTAGTTTCTCATTATCTACTATCAAGTTTGAACTTATGTGAAACCCCTGTGAAAGGCCTATTTAGAATAAACAAAACTGCTGTTCTATTGAATTCAGTTTTTTTTTGTTGTGCCTTCAAGTCATTTGCTAATTATGGTGACCCTAATGTGAATCTATGCGGACATTTTCTTGGCAAGATTTATTCCAAGGGTTCACATTACGGTCACCATAATTCAGAAATTACTTAGGCTGAGTATCTCTTATCAAAAAGGTTAAGTGTTTTAGATTTTGGAATACCTGCATTTGCATATATCTACATAATAAGGTCTCTTGGAGATGAGACCAAAGTCTTACAATTTTTTTCTTCATCTTCTTGTTATCTTTATTTTTATCCTGACTTTCTCCCATAGGAACTCAAGGTGACAAACAATGATAAGGCACAGTACAACACAGCACAGTACTATATATATATATATATAAATTTGTACATAAGTGTAAATGTAAAAATATAAAGTACAATACAGATATATGTTAAAGTTAGACATCCCCATTCCAATTATTCTAACCCTTATGTATACCCAGAATGTAGTTTTGTACAATATTTTATAATTGTGTGCATGTATACATAGAACCACCAGAAAAAAGGACGTCACTATCTCAGCCACTCAAGTAGACAGTTTCAGATTTTGGAATGCTGGGTATCCCAAAGAATGCTCAATCTGTCTCCATTCATTGTAATGCTATTTTCCTTCCAAAGTAGGAAGGACAGTGGGTGGGCTGAAGTTGGTTGAATAAATGGGTCTGTGCTAGTTGGCACTGACAGTTGGATTAGGCCAAATGTCACCATCTGCTACATGGCCTAGATCCCAGGTCTTATCACACATGGGCTTATTTTCCTTCCAATTTACCACACACGCCTTAAAGATCATGTAAAGGTTTTGTTTTGTTTTTTCTTCTTCTGTATGTTGAAAGGCACAGGTTGACTGCCACTTATCTGAAATACTTGGGACTGGAAGTGTTTTGGCACAGGTTGACTGCCCCTTATCTGAAATACTTGGGACTGGAAGTGTTTTGAATTTCCAGTATCTGTATTTGCATACATTTACATAATGCCAAATCCTGGAAATGGAACTGATGTCTAAACCTGAAATTCATTGTTTCATATATAGATAGCCTGAAGGCAATTTTAACTCAAACGGATGCAGTTTGACACTACTCTAACTGCTATGGTTCAATGCTAAGGAATCATGAGAATTGTAGTTTATAATTGCCTTTAGCCTCTGTCAAAGTGTATTGATGACTTACCAAATTACAACACACAGAATTCCATAGCATTGAATAAATCATGTTAAATTGGTGTCAGCCTGCATTAAATTTACAGTAGATCAGGCATGGGCCAACTTGGGCCTTCCCTCCAGGGTTTTGGACTTCAACTCCCACAATTCCTAACAGCCTTTACACAGTAGAATGCATGCAGTTTAGCACCACTTTTAACTGCCAGGTCTCGATGCTATGGAATTCTGGGAGTTGTAGTTTAGTCCTCTGTCAAATAGCACTGATGCCTTACCAGGCTACATACAGACAGCTCTACAGCAGAGTCATGGCAGTTAAAGTAGTATCAAACAATCCTACAATGTACTATGGACATACCTCTCCTTATGAACTATCTAGGACATTAAGATCTTCCTCACAGATGCCTTTGGTAGGGACGAGAGACAGGGCCTTCTCAGTGGTGGCCTCAGCTGCAGAACGCCCTTCCTAGGGATATAAGATCGCCCCCCTCCCTTCTGACTTTTTGAAGAAAGGTTAAAACCTGGCTTTTTGAAAAGGCTTTCGCTAATCCAGCATAATTATACGAAACCATGGAATGACCTGACGATGCAATTGAATAATGATTTTGACAAGGAGACACTCACGATGATGTTTTTATGGCTTTGTACAGTTTTTTAAATATTTTATGCTAAATGTTTTTAACAGTATTTTATGATTGTTTTACTTGTTTATAATTATTGAGGCATCAAATGCTGCCAGCTGTGAACCGCCCAGAGTCGCCTCCGGGCTGAGAAGGGCGGTATACCAATGCGGTAAATAAATACTTCTTCATCACACTACAGAGAAAAAATTCACTTAAAATCCGGTTTCTGCCTCCTGCAGAATTCTGGGGTTTGTATTTTAGTGATGCTCCTCGTGTTCTTTTTTTTCTGCATTTTCCTGCATTTCATGATGTTCATTTTTTCTGCATTTCAGAAAAAAATGAAATGTAAAGATACAGAATGGAGGACGTGTGGCTCGAGAGCAGTACATGTTAAAAAGATCTCGGGGTCTTCATGAACAACAAGTTAAACATGAGCCAACAATGTGATGCGGCGGCAAAAAAAACCAACGAGATTTTGGCCTGCATCAATAAGAGTATAGTGTCTAGATGCAGGGAAATCATGCTACCCCTCTATTCTGCCTTGGTTAGACCACAGCTGGAATATTGTGTCCAATTCTGGGCACCACAATTGAAGAGAGATATTGACAAGCTGGAATGTGTCTGGAGGAGGGCGACTAAAATGATCAAGGGTCTGGAGAACAAGCCCTATGAGGAGTGGCTTAAAGAGCTGAGCATGTTTAGCCTGAAGAAGAGAAGGCTGAGAGGAGACATGATAGCCATGTATAAATATGTCAGAAGAAGTCATAGGGAAGAGGGAGCAAGCTTGTTTTCTGCTACCCTGGAGTCTAGGGCACAGAACAATGGCTTTAAACTACAAGAAAGGAGATTCCATCTGAACATTAGGAAGAACTTCCTGGCTGTGAGAGCTGTTCAGCAGTGGAACTCTCTGCCCCGGAGTGTGGTGGAGGCTCCTTTAGAAGCTTTTAAACGGGCTGGATAGCTATCTGTCGGGGGTGCTTTGAATGCAATTTTCCTGCTTCTTGGCAGGGGGTTGGCCTGGATGGCCCATGAGGTCTCTTCCAACTCTATGATTCTAACCCCAGAGTTCTACAGGAGGCAGAAACTGGATTTTAAGTGGATTTTTTCTCTAGTGTGATGAGGCCCACCTTGAGCATCGCTTTGACAGGCACACAGCTCCATATATATTTTTAGGAAGGAGCAGAGAAAAGCAAAGGAGGCAGTAGTGTCAATGAAGTAATAGTAGGTGCAACTCGTAGGGATGAGGGAAGCAGGTGCAACTCGTGGGGACGAGGGAGAGGGCATTTTCTGTGGTGGCCTCTCGACTCTGGAACTCGCTCCCCAAAGATATTAGGCAAGCCCCCTCATTGGCAGTCTTTAGGAGCTTGTTCCAATATGCCTTCCCTGAATGAAAGATTAATAATTCCCTGATCTGACCAATTCTCTGCAAAATGTCCTCTGAAGCACTTTATTCTACTTTTTGGGGCAATTGACCCCACCCTACCCTCTAAAACCCCTGTTCAGACTCATTTCACTGCTGTCACACCCAGTGTTTTAAATTTTTAGTAGAATTGGCCCTGCCCACAGTGCTGGATCATTGTTTTTTTAAATGTTGTGTTTTATTGCTGATATGTTATTTATAATGGTTTTGTATTGTATTGTATTTTTTTATTGCTGTGTTTGTTTATACTGATGTATTGTATTGTCGGGCTTGGCCTCATGTAAGCTGGCCCAAGTCCCCTAGGGGAGATGGTGGCGGGGTATAAATAAAGTTTTATTATTTTACTGACACAAAAGCACAGTATGTCACAGCAAACGAGATCTATATTGCTGGATTTCGTATCACAAAATCACAAGTCGAACACTTCCCAAGCGTCTAGGACTGTGTGATGTATTTTCGAATGATGCGCGCAGATCCAAGTAAAGTGGCCTTTTGCAGTTGACAGATCGTGATTTTGTCAATGTTTTATTATTTCCAAATGCCGGCTGAGATCTTTTGGCATGGCACCCAGTGTGCCAATGACCACTGGGACCACCTGGACTGGTTTATGCCAGAGCCTTTGCAGTTCGATTTTGAGGTCCTGATAACGGCTGAATTTTTCCTGTTGTTTTTCCTCAATGCTGCTGTCACTGGTATGGCGACATCAATAATCCAAACTTTTTTCTTTTCGGGGGGGGGCTGAATTTTTTTCAGGGGTGGGGGGGGGGGGCTGAGTCTGAGTGAAAGAGGGTCTAGCCTAGCAAACCTTTTGTATCATTACCCCAATACCCTCATGCATATGGGATATATTGAGTATGGTGATCAGATCATGATATGAATAAACATAACAGTTTAAATAATGCACCAGTAAGGCCTTTTCGCGAACCACCGTGAGAATTTCGGGGGGGGGGGGCTGAAGCCCCTCAAGCCCCCCCCCCCGCTACATGCCTGTACAAGGGTCAATAATCCAGACTTTTTTCTTTTCACAATCGTGATGTCTGGTGTATTGTGTTCCAAAACTTTGTCAGTCTGGATTCGAAAGTCCCACAGTATTTTTGCATGTTCATTTTCCACGACCTTTGGGTTTATGATCCCACCAATTCTTTACTGCTGGCAGGTGGTACTTGTGACATAAGTTCCAGTGAATCATCTGGGCCACAGAGTTGTGCCTTTGTTTGTAGTCCGTCTGTGCGATTTTCTTGCCACAGCTGAGGAGATGGTCCATGGTTTTACCAGCTTCCTTGCACTGTCTGCATTATTGTTGTAGTAGAAGAAGAAAAAGTTCATTGTAAGGAAAATAAAAGCGGCGTGAAGTCACAATGGCCAGGTTTTCCATTGGAACCTTCTACCTGGAGCCTTCCGCGGCAGCTCTGCCATGCGCATGCGCGGCTTCCCGGGGAATGGCCGGAGGGCCCACGTGACCAGGCCGGGGAAAGGTGGGGGCCGGCAGTGGAGGGAGCCGGCGCTCTTGCCGCCGCCTCCTCCTCCTCCGCCGCCGCCGCCGCTCTGCGTCTCTCTCGCTCTCTCTCTCTGAGCGTGCCAATCTTGTGGGCCCGTCCGGCGGCGCAGAGAGGGGAGGGGGCGGGGAGGCGGATCCATCATGGCGTCTATGCAGGTGAGCAGCCTCCGGCGTCTCTTTCGTCCCCAGGTGGCCCTTTGGCGTTGGGAGGGAACGGCGTGTGTGAGAGGAACTTCGCCTGGCAGGAGAAACCATCCCCATCACCCCCCCCCCTCTCCTCCCATTCGTGGTCCCGTCCTCCTCGAGTCGGATGAGGCGGACGATCCCACTTTGCCCTGCTTGAGGGGGGGAAGAGACATCGCTTCAAGAACCCCCTTTAGTCTCCTCCCCCCCTATCTGCGCCTTTTTGGTCCCTTCCTCCTTCAAGCGAATGAGGCGGACGGTCCCACTCTCCCCTTCTTTGGGGGAGGCTCTCTCCAGGTGGAGCGGGGAGAACAGGTGCTGCTGCCTTTGGGAAGGGCCTTCTGGGCTGTGACAGATCCCTTCCTCGCCTCTCCTCCGCTGTGGGCGTTTTCTCCACACTGGAGTAGCCAACGTCGGGCTTTTAGGAAAGGAGGAAAAAGTGAGAGTTTGGGTTGAAAGGACGAGGCGGAAGCGGGCTCACTCCCAAGCCAGGAAGTGTGGAAAGTCATCTTGGCGTCCTTCTCCTCCCATTCTTTCAATACATTAGTCATGGTATTGTATATGTTCTGAGAGCAGGAGTGGCCCAGCACTGCCATGGACCAACCTTTTGGGCTTGGATTTGTTCTCACCTGCTGCCTACTAGTCTTCCAGTGCTTTTAAGCCCTTTGAGGTGACAATATTGGTCAACAATGGCTTCTTAACCCATTTAAGGCAGGCGTGGGCAAACTTGGACCCTCCAGGCATTTTGGACTTCAATTCCCACCATTCCTAACAGCCTCAGGCCCTGTCCTTTCCCCCCTCAGCCGCTTATTATATTATTGACAGTATTGGTCAACAATGGCTTCTTAAACAATTTAAGGCAAGCATGGGCAAACTTGGGCCTGCTAGGTGTTTTGGACTTCAATTCCCACCATTCCTAACAGCCTCAGGCCCTGTCCTTTCCCCCCTCAGCTGCTTATTATATTATATTGTTGACAGTATTGGTCAACAATGGTTTCTTAACCCATTTAAGGCAGGCATGGGCAAACTTGGGCCCTCCAAATATTTTGGATTTCAACTCCCACCATTCCTAACAGCCTCAGGCCCTTTCCTTTCCCCCCTCAGCCACTTATTATATTATATTGTTGACAATATTGGTCAACAATGGCTTCTTAAACCATTTAAGGCAAGCATGGGCAAACTTGAGCACTCCAAGTATTTTGCTCTTCAACTCCCACCATTCCTAACAACCTCAGACCTTTTCCTTTTCCCCCTCTGCTGCTTATTATATTATATTGTTGACAGTATTGGTCAACAATGGCTTCTTAAACCATTTAAGGCAGGCATGGGCAAACTTGGGCCCAGCAGGTGTTTTGGACTTCAATTCCCACCATTTGTAACAGCCCCAGGCCCTTTCCTTTTCCTCCTCAGCCACTTATTATATTGTTGACAGTATTGGTCAGCAATGGCTTCTTAAACCATTTAAGGCAGGCATGGGCAAACCTGGGCCCTCCAGGTGTTTTGGACTTCAATTCCCACCATTCCTAACAGCCTCAGGTCTTTTCCTTTCCCCCCTCAGCCGCTTAAGTTACAAACATCGAACTTACAAATGACTCATAGTTAAGAACAGGGGTGAGACAAAAGGAAGCGAGAGAGAACTACCCCTTGGAAGATAAATTCACTCCAGAAAGAGTTATCGTGAGGAAAAGGTGCCTCCACTGAAGTTTTACCACCAATCCTTGTTTCCACAACAAGCCAAATTTTTCAAAATCCAATTATCACAAGGACAGAAAGTGAGGTGAAATCTTCTGAACATGGGCACAGAATGCGAAATAAACACCCCAGGGGTGTTAACCCTTCACTAAGCTACCCAAAGTTCTCCCCCCCCCATATATAATCAAATCATAGAGTTGGAAGAGACCTCATGGGCCATCCAATCCAACCCCCTACCAAGAAGCAGGAAAATCTCATTCAAAGCACCCCTGACAGATGGCCATCAAGCCTCTGTTTATTATTTATTTATTTATTATTTATTTACTTTGCTTATATACCGCTGTATCTCAAGCCCGAAGGCGACTCACAGCGGTTCACAAACAGTAAAAACAGTAGAAACAGCAGTGGTTCCATACAACATATAACAATTGACTTAACACATTATCCATAAATTACCAATAAGCAATTACAATGCACAATTATTATGAAAAACAACTGTACCCAATCTTCTCATCATCCAAGCGTAGTCCAGGTTCGTCGTCCATTGTTCCATTCCTATATTCCATTACCAGATTGCACTAAATTACTCAAACGCCTGCACAAACATCCAGGTCTTCACCTTTTTGCGGAATACCATTAGAGATGGTGCTAGTCTAATGTCCGTAGGAAGGGCGTTCCACAGCCGAGGAGCCACCACCGAGAAGGCCCTATCTCTCGTCCCCGCCAGCCGAGCTTGAGAAGCAGGCGGGATCAAGAGCAGGGTCTCCCCGGAAGATCTCAAAGTCCTGGTTTAATGGCCCCAAAGAAGGAGCCTTCACCACACTCCAGGGCATAGAGTCCCACTTCTAAACAGCTCTCACAGTTAGGAAGTTCTTCCTAATTTTCAGGTGGAATCTCCTTTCCTGTAGTTTGAAGCCATTGTTCCAGGGCAGCAGTAAACAAGATATAGATATATAGAGTGGGAGAGAGCAAGAGCTGGAGATACACTTAAAAAATGAACCTGTTCCAACTTACATACAAATTCAACATAAGAAAAAAAAACCTACAGAACCTATCTTGTTCGTCACTTGAGGACTGCCTGTACTGCCCATCATCTAATTGACAGAAGCAAAGGGATATTTTTGTTCTTTTGTCATTCTTATAAACTTTTCAGTAATATCTGGTGGCAGCTGCAGGGTTTCGAGATCTTATATTGATTTTTCAGAAATTAATATATTTACATTGTCATTTCAAGGTCTTGTTCATAACTTAGGGAGTGCCTGTACATACCCGGCATACAGGAATTCAACTTCAGTACCAGAACTTGAGCCAATCTGCTCATATCCCCCTCTCCCCAAGGTCTTCTTGATTTGAGCACAGTATTGAAATCAGAATATCCTTCCAAATATCACATAGGGAAAGAAAAAGAATGCAACTGTAATACAGTACCCCTTTCCAACCAGCAAAAGAGACTAAATTCAAATGTTTCACAAAGCTTCATTTGGATCAAAAGTTTAATCTGCAATGCGCAGTGAAAGGTCAGGGAACAGCAAACAATTCTAAGTGTCTTTTGCATGTGCTGCTGGATGATCCAACATTGTATTTGTGCCCATGGGTTACAGGATGCATTTACACTGTAGAATTAGTGCAGTTTGACAGTACTTTAAAATGCCATGGCTCAATGCTGTGGAACTCTGTGAGTTCCTGAGCCTTCTCTGCCAAAGAATGCTGGTGCCTCACCAAAGTACAACTCCCAGGAGTCCTGAATGCTGAGACATGGCAGTTGAAGTGGTGTGAAACTGCAAGAATTCTACAGTAAAAAATTTATGTTTGATTTTGACCTGCTTCCTCTGGTCTTCTAAGCCAGTGCTTCTTAAGCCATTTATCAGCAAATTGTTTGCTTCCAGTGTATCAGGGTCCAGCACTGTATGTGTGCCCTTGAATTATAGAGTTTGCCTTTCTCTTGGTTTGTTTTTGACCTGCTGCCTCTGATCTTCTAAGCCAGCGCCTCATAAGCCATTTAATATGAAAGTGGACACATCTACACTGCAGAATTAATATAGCAACACCACTTTTAACTGGTGTGCCTCAATGCTATGGAATTATGAGAGTTGTAGTTTAGCGAGGCACCAGCCTTATTTGGCAGAGAAGACTAAAGACCTTGTGAAACTACAACACCAAGGACCTCCTAGCATTGAGCCATAGCAGTTAAAATGGGGTCAAACTGATTTAATTCTACAGTGTGGATTCATCCAGTATTGATCAGCAATTGTTAACTTCCAGTGTGCCAAGTATTTGTGCCCAACTTTTCTCTTGGTTTTGTTCTTACATGCTGCTTCCGGTTTTCTAAACCAGTGTTTCTTAAGCTATTTGATATGTGTGTGAGTGAGTGTGTGATCATCAATTGTTTATTTCAATGTGCTAGGAACCAGCATTATATTTGTTCCCATTGATTATTGTTGTTGCTTTCTTTCTTGGAAATTCTCCAGTGACTGGCAGTGCAGATCCAAGGACCACTACTTTGGAAAGCACGATTTTAGACTAGGTGTGAGCAGACTTCATACTTTTGAGATTTGTACTTAAAAAAAAAGACCACAGCAAGTTGTTTTCTCAAGAAGCCATTTTTTTCAACATCTGATTATCACAAGGACAGAAAGCGAGGCAAAATCTCAATGGAGTCAAGTTCAAAATAGTGGGTGGTGAGAGAGACCTTGACTGGAGATGCAAAATGACAGCCCCCAGGGGTTTGGTCACTTTCTGTCATTTATTGTGCTACACAACAGAAGACCTGTGTGTACAACTTTATATATTTGTTTCTGTACGTCAGGGATTCTCAAACAACCTAACTTATCTGATGTTGTTAGACAAACCTTTATGGAAAATCTGCTGATCAGTCAGTTATTTTCAGTGGGTAGATCATGTTTTACCTCCTGGCTCCCTTCTTTAGCTAAGAATGAGCTTTGAGCTGTCAAAGTTTTACTTCTCACCTTAGCCAAATCTCACCTTGATCAAACATCCCTGCCATTTGTCCCTAATAATGTTCTATCAGAGAGAACGCTTGCAGTTGTAGATTACTGTATTATGGGAATCATATGTGAAGTTCTGTACTTTTGAAGACATCTTAGCGGAAAAAACATGAGGGTGGTGGTGTTGATAGTGGTGTAAATATGTCACAGATGTTAAAAGATAGGGTGCAACCTAATACAAGTTAAACTGAAAAGCAAATAGGAAAAATGGCCCAACCCAAGCAGCTGGTATCTGCTGTGATTAAATTTTCTGCAAGCTGTTCTCACTTTAGATCGGCAGCATACAAGTATTTTTATACTTATTAATGATTTGCTATGTTCGCGAAGATAATTAAAGCACATAAATAAATGTACATACCTAATACTTGTGAACACACATGTCTGAAACTTCTTCGCCTCCAATTTGGTTTTATCTTTTTAATATGCTGGCTGATGGAAGTTATTTTACGAACTTGCACTGATGCAATAGGAAAATATTATTTTCATTTGAATATATAAAATATGAGAGTTCTTAGAAGACTATAGAAGGTACATAAGAATCAAGCACATCCTTTTTTTCTCTTTTTCCTACTTCTGCACTTTGTACTTTCTTCAATCTTTACTTTTACAGTACAGAATAAGGCTGCAATCCTATATACTTGAATTCTGTAGACATGTGGAAGTTTGCTCAGTCCCATTGACTTCAAGTGTTTTCATTGTTGACACGTTACCAACATAACTTTTCAAACATTATAGCAATGATGTCACAATTATTATAAATTTCTTGTTATGAATGCTGTGCTACCCACGGGATGTATTAAACTTTCAAAGATTATGCTAGGGATTCCTTATTTCCCTAGGTGATTTGATTAAGGAATGTGCTAAGCAATACTGTTTATTTCCATCTTACATATCTGTATAGCATTGTGGGAAAATCTTGACTATTTTGAAATGAAGATTTCAACTGACATTAATAAAGAACTCATAGAATAAAATATTCAGTATTATATACTGTGCTAGCAGTTTCAAAATAGTAAAATCTAATGATACAGTTTAGGATTGAGACATGTCGACATGAGATTCATTCTTGGGAAAAAGCAATAATTGTTATATTTATTTGGACCTGTGCAATCAACATAGTTTTAACTATAGAATCATAGAGTTGGAATGGATTACATCTAGTCCAAGTTCCTCCCAAGCAATAATGTACAAGCATTCTTCGCACTTTCCAGATTTGGTCAGATTGTAGAAGGCCTTGCATTATCAGGAAAATGTGGGCACTGATAGCTTTAATAGTGAAGGAAAAGCAAGGCTTCTTTGCTTATATTACTGCCATAGCCTCTTTTGGGTTGAATTCATATTGAGTGTAAGACTTCAGTGTGTGTCACAGAAATATTCACCTCCCCCTTCCCAATTTTCCACATTTAGTTGTGTTACAATCTAGACAAAATTTATTTAATTAATATTGTTGCGCTTTGATGTACACAACACGGCAAATGTGCAACATATTCTTATATGACACAAGGGTGAAGGGAGGAAAACTTAGTATTTATTGGGTGCTTGCCTTCATGCTATGACATGCCTATATAGGCTGTGATACAACTCACTGCCTCCAGTGAGTTGTGCACCAGCCCTTGTGTTACCAAAAGGAATGATTATGAACATACCCATTTTTTAGAGAAGGTTTCCACCAATAAATACTTAGTAGCCAAATGTGTTACAGAAGAAACAATCTAGAGCGTGCCTGAACAACTTGTGGCCCTCCAGATGTTTGGGAGTCTAACTCCCAGAAGCCTGATCTAGATCCAAAGAGTGGCTGAAGGGAAGCAGAATGGGAAAACAATTTGAACTCTCTGAAACTCTTTCTTTTAAACTTTATAATATTAAAGAGAGCTTGAATTAACAATAGGGTAAAGTGAGATATCCGGCAGAAGTGTTTTTTAAAAAATCACTTCCTTGTGTGCTGGACCTCATATATACGCACATGCTAATCTGCTTGTGTTTATATTAAGATACTCACATGTGCACATTCTGAGGTCCAGAACATAATGGAGTGGTTTTTTATAAAAAGAAACTTCTACTGGATGTCCCCCTTTTGCCCTCCATCTTGATCCTCTTCAAAAGAAGATGTGAGGACGGTGGGAGGAGCATTTCCTGGGACTGACAGGTCTGTCTGTGGACCTGCTGTCAGGTCCTTGGATTTTTTAAATCCATTTTTAAAACACAAATGTTGGTGCTGTCTGGAAGTGCCCTGGGTTAGAGCATCTTCCAGCAGAACACTGTCCCCTAAGCACACTCTCAAAGTGATATTGGAGTAATTGGAGAACAAGGACGTGAATAACTTAGAATGGCCCAGTCAGATTTCAGCTTGTTGCAAGATTGTCCACCTGAAAAGAGTGGGAGCAAAAATTGCTAAATCCAAGTGTGCAAAGTTGGTAGACTTACCAAAGAAGTAATATAAATGTTTATATCAGAAAATTTGTTTTAAATTTCTTGTATTAGTATTTCTGTAATATTTTTCTTCCCGAAATGATTTTATTAAAGATTGTATTAAATGAGAAGGGCAAGTGTTGTAAGAGGAAGGAGGAGAAATGTTTGTTGCTTTGGCAGTTGACTATCCAATGGTTAAGACCATTGATAGAAAAATACAGCATTGTTTTCTGATGTGTCTTAAAGTTCAACATGCCTCTATAAATAAGGGTTCACATCTGAAATCAACAGAATGTATGTGTTCTATTCTAAATATTGACAGGTAGCAATCCTAAAGATTTTTATATAGAAATAATTCTTATTATTGATGAGTAAATATCCATATAATTCTGTTTTAATCCTTGTTGCTGGCATTTTTGTTTTTGTTTATACTCCACTATGCAGAATTCTTCATTCTCAGTCTGACCATGTGTGTTGGTGGCTCACATTTCATTGTTTTCCTCTTATGATCATCTAGAATGAGAGAGATCAAGGATAGTGTCTGTTTTCTAAAAAGTTTCCAGCTGCTTTAGGCTTCCTGCACTTTTAAGTAGAGCTGAAACACTTGTGTTTATTAAAATGTTTTGCAGAATAAACACACACAAGCACTCTGCCTTTCACTACAGACCTCACTGAATTTAACATTATAGTTTGCCTAGTAATCTGTCATTCAGTTGCGTACTCCATACTTTTTCTCTCTCCTGAATTATAGGGCACATTAATTCATATATTAGTTAAACTCAAGCATTAACAAACACTCTATCTTTATTTTGTTCAACTTTTTTGCCTTGTGAAAGAATCTCTTTCATCCAATAGTAAATTATTTTTACCTGGCCCTACTATTCAGCTATTTTATGGGATGTAAATAGGAGAACTCCACCAGCATAACATATCCATCTTATGAAACTGAGTTCTATAAATTGCTTCTTGATGACTTCGCCACTTTAATTGCTTATTCCTTTTCCTGTTTATTTGGAAGTTCCAAAGCATTCACTTCTTAAATATGTCTGAAGATATTCACTCTATATAAGTGCATGTTTGTTTGGGCATGAATAGTATTGGGGGCAAATGGAAAAATTGAGAATGTGTTTTCTAAAATTCTTTGTACTGAGAAGGAAATTGTGTTTATTACTATACAATAAGTTATTTCTAGAAATTGTACTGTTACACAAGATGAAGTGTTTATTGAAGCTTGTTATTTTTTAATCATTTTATATGTTTTGCAGTAAAAACATGTTTGAGAATATTGTCTTGTAGCATTCGTATGTACTAATAAGTAGCAGTCTAATGAAATATTTTAATACTATCTCCCTTTTCAATTAGAAGAGGCTACAGAAAGAGTTATTGGCATTGCAGAATGACCCACCACCAGGAATGACCTTGAATGAAAAAAGTGTCCAAAATTCAATTACACAGTGAGTGTTGTCTACATTTTCATAATTTCTAGTTTAGCTGAAATTGAGTAAGCCTGATTGACTTTTCCCTGTTGGTAACACTGTTTTTAAAATATAAAACATATGATTTCTGTTTTGTACGAACAGTTTTTTTTTAAGTACAGCACAGTATACTTGTATATAATTGGCATGGGATTTACACATTCTGCACTTGGCCCTGTTTTGTTATTCCCCAAGGCCTTGGATGGCTGCAAATTTATAGAAAAATCTGAACCAATAAATTAAGAATGTCCTTTTATCTAGCTTTGAGCTTTGGGGCCTTCTAGCCTCAAACAGAGTCGCAAAACTCCTAATTGGAATGCATACTATTTTTTTAAAAGTTATTTCTTTTACCCTTGAGATACTTAAATAATGTAACTATTGCACTATATTGCTGACATGCTGCCTGTTTGTTTCTGTTCATTTTTATTACCTAATTTGAAGGTCACAGGAGACATACTTCCTGGTTTTGATTCACAGAATTAACATCCTAGTTGCAATGCATGGGTGGATGGTTACTGCTGTCAGCTTCAAGTAGTTTACATACAAGGAATGCTCACTTGGAGGCATGATTAAAAGGGGCATCTGCCACTTTTTATAGACAAGAATAGAGAATAGTTCTGATAATTTCATTAGTTGTGAGGGTTTTTTTTAGCCTTTTCTCCAGATAAAGTTTTGGGAACTGTTGTCGCAAAATATTGCATTACAATAAGCTTCAGCTTCTTTCAAGAAAATTGTATCTTCATTGTTCTTGATAATTTCTTAAAGTGTTCACAATTTTTGTCAAAGCACAGCAGAAATGTAATTTAGTCCTCTGTACCCATTTGAAGGCTTTTGTCACCCAGGAAGCTTAACTTGGATGATGATCATGATCATTTATTTATATTGCGCCATCACTGTACATGGTGTTTTACAGGCAAAAGAACAACAACAAAAACAGTTCCCTGCCCACAGGCTTGCAATGTAATTAAGATATAACACAAAAAGAAAGGAGGTGGCATCGTGGGAAAGGGTTATGTCCAGCAGATACTGCCTCTTCTCTCCTTCCAAGCCCAGATACTGCCTCTTCTCTCCTTCCAAGCCCACAGCAGTAGCAGTTCGGATGGATGGAGACCCTTTCATCTGCTTCTGGGCCTTGGCATCATGGAGCTCTGCCTGCTTCCTTTTGTCTCCCTCCAAAGACAGGGCCTTTAACTCCTTACCCTTGGCCAAGTCTCACCAAAATTGGAATCAGAGCTATATAAAGACCCCCATGTTTCTTCTGTTAATATATTTTGCCTTAGTTTCTTTCCTGTCTTATCTGCTAGCTGTAATGCACTGAGTGAGCATGCTGTAGCAAGTTAGCTATCCCTGCTTAGGGGATAATTCAACGCTAGTCACTGCTGTTGTTTTTAAAAGAATGCTATATTCTTCAATTTAAATTGTCGAGTAATGCTTCCAGTCATGTAATAACTAGTAAATCCAGTCCTGTCTCCATATGTTCGTTCTGTGCTGTTGCTTTAGCTGGAGAGTAAACAGAAACAAATGGGAATTGGGATCCCTATTTATCATTTTGTTAAGTCCTTACAAATATACTGTGAGTGTAGAACATGACTCTGAAATTATTATGCTAGTACTTCTTATTGCTTTATATATTATTATTTGAAAAAACATTTATACCCCACCCTTCCCAACCCCCGGAGGGGGACTCAGGGCGGCTTACAGCCAGCAGCAATTCGATGCCCCTACATACAAAACATAATAAATACAACAATTACATAATAAGTAAAACATTAAATTAAAAATCTATTTTAAATAGTATTAACTGGTTGGCCATATCTAAATCCGAATTCTGCGACCAACGACTTAGTCCAAAGCGTGTTCATAGTCTGTCATCATTGTTAGTCTGCTACCCAAATGCCTGGTCCCACAACCATGATTTCAACTTCTTCCTGAATGAAAGGAGGGATGCAGTTGACCTAATTTTGCTGAGGAGTGTGTTCCACAGGCAGGGGACACCACTGAGAAGGCCCTGTCTCTCGTCCCTGCCAAGCGCGTTTGCAACGGAGGCGGATTGAGAGCAGGGCTTCCCCAGAAGATTTTAAGCTCCGAGACAGGATGTAGAGGGAGATACGTTCGGACAAGTAAGCTGGGCTGGAACCGTATCCATCTGTTCATTAGATGTATTATATTTATTAGGATTGTGTATTTTGGCTGAACCTCGAGCCGTTTCAGATTTTGGGGGACCTGCAGATCATTTTTGCACGCCTCCCAAAAACAGACGGGCATCTGAATTAATGTTTTCAGTCTGCAGCTGAAAATGCGACTAGATCCGACCCATTGGCAGCAATGGGGGGGGGGGAGGCTTAACAGCCTCCCGTTCCCATCAATTTTAGGGCTATTGGGTGAAAATGGCCACACTTGGAGGTCCACTGCTGGTCCACCAAGTTTCATAATGTTTGGGTCATCCCCTGATTTTTAAGGGGATGATTTCTAGAAATAAAATCTCCTTTAAAAATTCCCAAAAAGATATCCCACATTGCCCCTGCCCTGTAACTTCTCCAGGAGGAGGAGCAGAGCATCATTCCTTCCTGCCAAATGTCAAAGATGCACTTCCACATCACACAGCCTGCTGTTACACTTTCTTTACTAATAAAAAAACAACAACAGCAACTGCTTCAAAAGCTTTTGCATTTCTTGTTCTCACAACATACTGGAAGAGGCCAGCAGCCCACCATCTACAAGCAAGCAAGCCTCTCTGCACACCGCGTGATCCTGAATATAGCAGAAGGTAGCCACAACTGGCAGCCAAACAAACATGGTGGCAGAGCCCTTGCCATTACGTGCGTCCAAAGAAGCTGAAGGCAAACGGCCAAAACGAATCTGTGCACAAATCCAATATTTAGTTTCTAAATGGCTTCATACTAGTCATATAATAACATATTGGTTGCAATAAATTGTCATAATGTAGTTGATAAAAATTTACTGACACAGACTTTGGTAATGATAACTGGAAAAGTGAAGCTGAAAAATCTTTCACATAATCTTGAGATAGGAGTTCTGTGATGCTGGCATCAGCAGATCGTAATGTGATCTATAGAATGCACCATTTATAGATGTGGTGAAGCGATGGCTGAATTTGAAGTATCTACAAACTAGTCAGAGCAAATATCCCACTATTATGGTTCTCATATTATTGTACTGTCTTCATTAAATGGTAGTGAGAAATGACTAAATGAAGGGAATAACAAATCCTGCAAAACGCAAGCTAGATGTTCTAAAAATAATCTCTGTTCATTAGATGGATTATTTTGATATGAGAGTATGTCTGGATTTTTTTTAAAAATTACGTATTCTATGAGAATAGGTTCTGTCAGTGGCAATTTTCCAAAATAATCAGGAGGTGGAACTTCACCCATCAATAAAATTAATTAGTTATTGGTGGATATGAATTGCCAGGGGAATCTCATTTTTTTAATTCCACTGAAATATCTTGACTGGTGTTAGAAACTGCAGAGTATTGATCTGAATTTGCATGTATTTAAGTGTATATCTAAGATATCAAGTACTCTTTATCTGGAAAGAGTCCTTTAAAGTCTAAAGTTTAGACATAGTAAATGACTTGTGTTTACAATCCTAAAATTTCATTTAATGCTAAAATTCTCTTTTAAATTGAAGGTTTTTAGATATGCATTTTCATTACCATTTGTAATCTAAATCTAAAACTCCATTACACATGTCCTGCTCATTATGTTTTATGACTGTTTCTGTTAAGGGGAGATAGTAATCCCTCTTTTGTTTTATTCTTGAAGGTGGATTGTAGACATGGAAGGTGCTCCTGGAACATTATATGAAGGGGAGAAATTTCAGCTGCTGTTTAAATTCAGTAGTCGCTATCCATTTGACTCTCCTCAGGTAATATATGTAAAAAATCAAAAAGGAGTTTAATATATATTGAAGCTACATATAGAATTACAAGGCCTTATCATTCTAGTGTAGATATCTTTTAGTAGACAAGTGCCACAGGGTGACGCTCATAGTGGCAAAATTCCTCGCAGTGGCAGCAAGGCTGAGAAGGCAACTAACCTCTGATAGGGGTATTACTTGAAACCATGTAGATATATGTTGTACAATGGATTTCTCCCGAGATGGGGGAAACAAGCATTCGGTTAATCCGTTGCAATGTATATTGATGACTAAAGGACTGGTAATCATGGACGACGAATTTTGGACTGTGATTTTAGTTACGAGATGCATGGGATTATTATTGGTGGCCCAATAATTTGTATTGTATATGTGTTTTATGTTTTAAATTGAATACTGTTTTTAATTGTTGTAAACCGCAATGAGTCGCCAACTTAGGCTGAGATATTAGCGGTATACAAGTGTATAAATAAATAAATAAATAAATAAATAAATTTAAATGACTTTTGGTTTTTACTGATGGGTCTATGGACCATAATAAAATTGTTGTTTTGTTGTCTTATCATTCAGCTTCCCCCATGATTCCATAGTGTAGATACAGCCTGTTTGTGCTTTTGTAAACCATGTGTCTAGAGACTTAACACAGAAGACTTGAACAAGAAGTTTCCATTAAAGTGTCTGTATTATAGATCATTTGTTTTCTTGTTTGTTTTACCAGATAAAATTAGCTTGAAAGTTTTATTTTGCCTTTTAATACTTTGGTGACACAAAAAGGTATTATTTATGATGAAAAAAATGGAGCTGTGACTTGTAAGTTCTCCAGCGATAACTGAACTGTAAGTGTTATAAAAACACTTGCAGTTCTAATTAAACAACAGTTTTCTATTTCATTTGAGTTGCCTGCCTTACTTGTTCTTAACCCATGACAACATCTAACCCTTGGCCAAGACTGATTCTATCAATTGGTCTGTCTCTTTTGTCTACTTGCCCCATTTTAAATTTACAGGAGCCCCATGTGGCCCAGCATCTATCAGATAGGTTTGTGGCTGCATATCTGCAGATCTCCAATCATACTTTGAACCTTTAACAGTATGGGCAGCATTTGCAGTCCAGATGCCCGAGCACTGATACCTTGGTTGGGCAAGACAACAAAGGACATTAACTAGTATATGAACATAATATTTTTAAACCTATTTTGAAATATTTGGCTAATAGGGTAAGAGAGAAGGCTTTCCTTAATTTTCTCTTAAGGATTCGTTTTATATACCATAAATCCTTTAGGACTGTGCCTCTTAAGCTACCATATCTAATAGGGAGGACAGGCAATTTTCCCCACCCTAATGTGTCAGAGACTGGCACCATATTTGCACCCATGTAGAGCATAGGGAAGGGTTAATACCCTCATGGTTTTGCTGTCTGTGCCTCTGTTCAGGAGATTTCAGCTCACCTTCTGTCCCTGTGATATTTGGATTTTGAAAAATGTGGCTTGTTGTGGAAACAAAGGTTGGTGAAAAAGCTTCAGCAGAGACACCTTTCCCCCATGATAACTCTTTAATTACTGAATTTCCCTTCTGATGGGTAGATTTCTCTCACTTCCTGTTGTCTCACTCCCATTCTTAACTATGAGTAGTTTGAAAGTTGGATATTTGTAACTTGGGGATTGCCTTTGTTTGTTTCTGTCTTTACATCTTGCATTTCTCTCACTGCAACACCCAAAGCATTTTGCAATCTAGATGAAAATAAAAATACAGCTAAATCATGCATGATACAGGGTGCAGCAGCATAACTTCCTTTTTTCAAAACTTAATAAAACCCATTGTATGAATCAGAATTTTATTTTTTTATAATGTAGGCTCACATCTAAAATTTTGTTTTACGTAGTTTTGAAGATCAAATTAGGTAGGTGACGTCCCCCATTCTCCATAAACTGAGTAAACCGATTTCTGGCATTTGTCATGACTCTTGCCAGCATAGCAGGCGTTATGTTGGCAATTTCTTCCTGGATGTTGGTCTTCAAATCTTGTATGGGTTTTTTTTTTAATCCCGTGTTTATGTGAACCGTTCATTATTTCGTATTCAAAGCACCCCCAACAGATGGCCATCTAGCCTCTGTTTAAAAGCCTCCAAAGAAGGAGCCTCCACCACACTTCGGGGCAGAGAGTTCCATTTATTACAGTGGGTCTCATCTCATTACTATATGTTTGCATAGCCAGCTGTGCATTTCTTTTCATTTTAAATACTGAAGATTTCCCAACATGTATTATTCTTTTTTAACATGTTTTATCAATAATATGTTAACTACATTTTTATTTTATTTTTAGGTTATCTTTACAGGTGAAAATATTCCTGTTCATCCTCATGTTTATAGCAATGGTCATATCTGTTTATCAATTCTAACAGAAGACTGGTCTCCAGCTCTTTCAGTGCAATCAGTTTGTCTTAGCATTATTAGCATGCTTTCCAGCTGCAAAGAAAAGGTATGGCTTCAGAAATAGAATTTAAATAAAGTAAGTGGAAGCAAGATCTCCCATTTTAAAGCAGAGGTTTTATTGTTACTTATCAATCTTTTATTTATAAAGAATCAGAAATATTTTTAACTCTAAAATAACACAGTCCTGTGCTAGAGATTAAGGTAAAATATATTAAAGCTTGTAGATAGATGTATTGGTTTTATTGCATACATTATTGATTTCAAGGAAACAGAATAGCACAAAAGACCTCCAATTTGCTTACACATTAGGATTGAGTAGAATATTCGAATTTGTGTTAATGAATGAACCATGTAGTTAAATGTGTTGAGCATAGAGCAGAAAACACTTCAGGATGGAGATATTCTCATAAGTCAAATTCTAAAATAACGGAACATCTGTATGGACACATGCTGGAAAGGAGTAGTGTTGCCTTATTTCAGAAATAAGAAACACTAACAAGATTTGTTTTTGCTGAATTATTAACTGCAAAGTATTACTTAATTATAACACACTTCAAATTTACATATGTTACATTTAGTCATTTTTACTGCAAACATAGTCTGATTCAGCACCTTAACTTTGCAATAGCAATAACAATAATAACAGATCCTGACATTTCTAAAGTCTAATTAATGTTGTGACTTGAGATTTTCTACCAATGCTTCTCAACCGATTCTTCACCACAGACCCCCTTTTAAATGCCTCTTGTGGTCGTGGGCCCCCATGACTTGAATCAAGATTTAAGGCACTAGACTGCATTATTTCAATTTTCTCATGAATGCCCCTCAGATTTCGAGATAAGAGGAAATGAGTTAGTCTGTTAATGTTACTGTAGTGTATTTCCAAACTGGGTGTATTTCTGCAGCTCATTGTCAAAACACAAGATGGAGGAGCATTTGCAATGAAGGAATAGGGCCTTTTAGCCATCAGGAAATAAAAAAATCCCCTGGCGCAGTCAGCCTGAATTGGGTTGGAAGATAGGTCTGGGTGTTTACAAAGGATAGATACCTGTTTTCTGAGATTAATTTTAGTCAAAGAAAAATTGTAAATAGGGCAATATCTAATCCAAACATTAGAAGCTAGGAGAGAAGTCTCAGAAAAATGACAAAATTCATGAATGACAAGTTAGTATGGTTCTGATATTAATTTATTTTAATGCCTTTCTTCTTTTACCTATATAGCAACTGTATAATCTATTGATTATCCCATATTTGACTCTTCTTTTTTTGCAGAGACGACCACCAGATAATTCATTTTATGTAAGAACGTGTAACAAGAATCCAAAGAAGACAAAATGGTGGTATCATGGTGAGTATTGACCTTGAAAAAATGTTTTGCGGAATGAATAAGACAAATTGCTTAAACTTCTATATGAATATTAAACTATTGTGATCCCTACCAGTAATAGCTAAGAAAATATATCCAAATACATTTGAACTTACAGTACATAACTGGTTTGTTTTTGCTTCTGAACACTTTGTGTACACAATTGGTATAGTTGAGAAACAGAACACTTGCACTGCATGTAAAAAGTCCAAGATTCAACTCTTAATATGTTGAATTGGAAAATGAATAATGGTAATAGAGATGCAGAGGCAAGATGAACCAATTATCAACTCAGTTGCAAGACAGACCTTAGTGTAGAAAATGAGTAATAAGAGTAATAATAACAATAAGCAGAATACAGTACTGTATATACTCAAGTATAAGCTGACCGGAATATAAGCTGAGGCACTAATTTTGCCACAAAAAACTGTGAAAACGTATTGACTCGAGTATAATAAGCCGAAGGTGGGAAATGCAGCAGCTACTGGTAAATTTCAAAATAAAAATAGGTACCAATGAAATTACATTAATGGAGGCATCAATAGGTTAAATATTTTGGAATATTTATATAAAACTGTCATTTAAGATAAGACTGTCCAACTCTGATTAAATCATTATTCTAAGCTTTTTCAATGTGAATGTACTTACATAGTCTTTCAAGAATAATAAAGAGTAAAATAATAAATATAATAACAGTAATAATAGAGTAAAATAATAAATGTAATAATAACAATGATAAATGAGTGAAATAATAAATATAATAATAACAATAATAAATGAGTGAAATAATAAATATAATAACAATGATACACAGAGAAAAACAAATGTAATAATAATAAATAGAGTAAAATAATAAATGCAATAAAATAATAATAACAGAGTAAAATAATAAATAAGCTTGACTCAAATGTAAGCTGAGGGAGGCTTTTTCAACCTAAAAAGGACTGAAAAACTCAGCTTATACATGAGTATATATGGTTACTACTGGAATAAACTAGAAATGTAATCACTAACTTAGTGTGGGCGAAAAAGAGCTTTGGGGAACAACATAGACATGGAGGAAGTAAAGTATTTCCTACACCACAAAGAATTGTTTTTCTTATGAAAATACTAAAGCTACAGAAAACACAATGCCCCTACAGCGTGTATGGAAGAGAAGCATTTGTAGGATTTCTATGTAGTATAACTCTCTTCAGTAACTTCTCCACCTGTCTTGACTTTTGGGCCACTTTCTATTGTATAATACACCATTTTGGAAGCCCTCCCTCATGACCCTGTAGAAAAAGTGTTTCGACTTTTCATAGAATCATAGAATTCAAAGAGAGCCCCAAGGGCCATCCAGTCCAATTCCATTCTGCAATGCAGGAACACACAGTGAAAGCACTTCTGACTGATGGCCATCCAGCTCCTTAAAAACCTCCAGAGAAGGAAACTACCCTTCTGAGACAGCATATTCCATTGTCAAACAGCTCTGATAATCAGAAAGTTCTTCCTAATGTTTAAATAGAATCTCTTTTCCTGCAATTTGAATCCATTGCTCCATGTCCTTAGAGCAGAAATAAACATGTGTGTGGGTGGGTGATGAATATCTACTAACTCCCTGCCCTCTAATAATTATATTATTGGGTGGTTCCTATTGCACATTATTGTGTAATATACATTATAATACTTTATGGATTCCATTGCAGAAAGCCCTCTTTCCAATAGCTCTGTATTCTTGTGTTATGCCAAATATCCTTTTATTCTTTTGAGTAGAAGGAAACACAACGATGTTCCAGGCATTTGGCTATTGGCTTCTCCATAATTTATACTTCATAACATCTTTGTTCCTTATTGAATTGGTAGGTCAAATCTGTATTAACGCATGTATTGTTAGACAGTATTCCTTCATTAAATATCTTTATTGCTTTTGGTGAGAAAAACAGATATAATCAACAACCTAATATACTATTTTTGTTTTGTTTTAAAGATGACACTTGTTGATGCCACCGTTTTGTGATTCTCCTAACAGAAGATAGTCCTACTGAGAAAATGAGCACTTTGATCATTCAGTCTTTGAACTTTAACCTCCTGACTGGAAGTGAGAAATAGGCAATGAAGACTACTTCCTTTGACTGCATTTTTACTCGTGTGCATTCTGGGCGCATGTTGATCGCTGGTTCAGTCCATGCTACTGAAATGCTTTCTTTTTTAGTCATACAGTATTAATGCAGGTGTTGGAAAAATGTCAGAATACAATTTTTTAAACTTTTGGAAGAATTTCAGGTCTTCATGTATTGTGCAATAATATGAATTTCTTGACGGTTTTGGTGTAACCATTGCCGGAAATAGATTGTATCAGGAAACTTATACCCCTGCCACAAGAAAAGTTAGATGCATGATAGGGCCTATGAAAAGTTTTAAATATATTGGGATTATATTTACTTTGAAAGCCACCTAATCGTTTAGAAATGATTCTGTGCACTGTGATCATAAAACTGGCAGCGTGAGTTAAAACATGCTTAGCTAAAGAACTAATAAGATCATTGCATATTTATCGAAGTGTCAGTGTCTTGACAAGGAAAAAAAATTCACGTTATATCAGCAGAGAGGTACAATACTACGTTATCCCTATGGTGAAATAAATACCTTTTTATTGTGTATATTATATTTCTGAAGCAAAGGGTATGAGTAAAATAGAGTAGAAATGATATAATCAAGGCAAACTTTGTTTTGTGAATGGAACGGATGGCAGTGATACAACTGAATTTGCTGCAGTCCATAATTGGGCTTGTTAATATGTACACTAGAGCTGTTTTCCAAGTAGATTGCACACTGTTACTTCATACTAGCCTTCAGCATGAGCCCTGTTGCCTACACAATATTTCATTTATTTATATGTTCATTTTTTGTTGGAGTTCATTGTTCTTTTGTTGTGTTGTATGTCATATTTGAATGTTACAAAACAATATTTTCACTGAAAAGCTGTCAGAAGATATTTTCTTGTAAATTATTTCTTTACCTTGTAAACATTTATCTTGTCTTTTAATCCTGTACTATAAAGGAAGAAATACATTTTGGACAGAGATGAACTGTTTTGACAAAAAAAAAAGTGTGGATCTTTTTATTTATGCTTAAGACAAAAATATATTTTTCTTACCTTCCTTATCCCATACAGCCATAGATTTTTTCCAGTTTTTTCTCCAATGATCTGACTACAACTAGATCTACCTTTTTATATAGAAAAAAGAAACAATTGTTAAATAGTAGTGAATTGTTCTTCACCTATGTAATTTTATGGTATTTCATCTAGGCTGTCTTTTTAGGAAGCACTGATGTGTCTTTTATAAACTTCCTACCTTTACACATATGCAAACTTTCTATCAATGCTCTTTTTAATGTTGCCTTATTGTTGCACTAAAAAAATCAAACCTAGTAGTAAATAAATGAATGTCTGAAGAGATTAAAACTCTTACTTGATTTTAAAAGTAAGAACCAGATCGGTTAAACAGACCTATCAGGATTGGCTGAGAATATTTTTGTTTGTATTGCTGTACTGTAATTTAAGAAATTTTATAGATATACAAATCCTACTGCATCTTCTATACTGCTTACAAAACATCAAATGGTAAAACCCAAGCGTGAGTGCAAATCATATGAAAGGAAAGAGTGTTCTGTAGAGGTAGTGAATTATAAACTATGAATTTGGTAGGGCTGTTTTTAAAACAAATTGCATATTTTCTATATTGAGAAAATGTTTATTGGCTCTTTAATCAAAAATGAATAGATATTATGGATATAAACTTGTTTACAGATGTTTGTCTTCAATTACATAACAAAAGGTTTCTGTTCAAGCCAAAAATAGTTCTGAAGGAATATATATTCCTTCTTATGATTTTATTTTAGCCTAAATTATCACTTGTTAATTAAATCATAACTATCCATTAAGTGGCGTATGCAAACTGGCAGTATGCTCAATCACTAAACCACTTAATGTTAAATTGCTATCTTCATACCTGCATAATTCACTTGAACTCTGTGTTAGAAAAGTATGTATTTTCTTCATACAACAGATTTATGTAATCATGTCATTCTCTAATACACAGTGAAGGAACACCTTTATCGGTCTGAAAGTTTAGATTAACTCATGGATCATAAATGCCATTGTCCCAATACTACGGATTATGGTATATATATATTCCACTGGTATTAAAAGCGATGCTTTACTATTGCACATATTTTATTTGCCTATATAAAATATCACAGGTTGAATTAAATAGAAATTACTAAGCAAAAAATAAGTATCTGGGTTTCTTTATGCAACTGCTATGTTTCAAAAATATTGTGATAATAATAAATCAGATCCAGAGCTGAAAAGAGTGGATGCCTGAAAACTGTATCTGAAGGGAGGAAGCAATGTTTGCAGTGTCTCTTGCAGGACCCTATACCTTCTCCAAATCTGGAGGATTTGGAAGCCCCCCCCCCCCCCAAAAAAAAAAAACTGCGAGTTGCTTTAGATATGTGCAAAATGAAGACACTGTGAGAATCACTACCCCCTTCCCTTCAGAGGTCAGCCTATGGTATGTCTCAATCAAATGAGCAATTGTATTGTGTTGAGGCTACTCTGGATCCATCCCATTGTTATCTTAACATTTTGTTGCTCTTAATTTAAAGCAAGAACAGACAATTCCAATGAGAATGTCTTAGTGTTTTTATAATACATATTGACATCATAGCTGTTTCTTCATGGTCAGTGAAACTACAGTAGTCTCGCTTATCTAACATAAATGGGCCAACAGAAAGTTGGATAAGCGAAAATGTTGGATAATAAGGAGGGATTAAGGAAAAGCCTATTAAACGTGAAATTACATTACGATTTTACAAATTAAGCACAAAACCATCATGTTTTACAACAAATTGACAGAAAAAGCAGTTCAATACATAGTAACGTTATGTAGTAATTACTGTATTTACAAATTTAGCACCAAAACATTGCAATGTATTGAAACAGCTGTGGATCTGGGTGGGAGGCAGACTGCATTGGATTATACAGAAAGTTGGATGAGTGAGACTCTACTGTACTTGCTTTAGAAGTGCATACCCCCTGTGTGGGTATTTTTTATGAATTGCCACGCAGAATAAAATCTTAAATCCTGACAAAACCTGCAATTTATTGTATTAGAAAACATGTCTCTAGTTACTGTTTTAGGCATAAGTTTACATGTATTTGTCTTTAAGTATTTTTCCTACCTAAACTAAAATCCAAATGCTTTAGTTTACTTTTACAGTGAATGTGCTCCTGCAAGCCGACCATTTTGGCTTGCATATTTATTTTCAAGTTCCGTGTTCATTATTTTTCAGATTCTTGGATCTATAACTATACAGTGGAGTCTTGGTACCCACTGGGTTTGGTTGTAGGATGTACACACACATCTGTGGATATCCCAGTTCATGCATGTTTGAGTCCCATATGTTCAAAGATGTAGTAAAATAGTGTCCCGTATGTCAAATGTCAAAATCAAGACTTGCAAAAAATCAAGTACAGGGAGATAGGTTTTGTAGATTTGTTCTTAAGCTGAATTTGTATGTAAGTCAGAATAGGCACATTTTAAGTGTAATACCAGACAAACCTCCCCCCCCCCCCTCTATATATATATGCACACACACACAAACACATGCTTTGGATGCCATAGGGAATGGGGTGGTGTTTGTTTTGCTGTCTGTGCCATTATGTCCCTTTGTGTTCCTGTGATAACTGGATTTTCAAAAATTTTCCTTGTTGTGGAAACAAGGATTGCCGAAAAACCTTCACACATACATATAATATGCTTTGGATACCATAGGGAATGGGGTGGTGTTTGTTTTGCTATCTGTGCCCTTACCTCACTTTGTATCCCTGTGATAATTGGATTTTTAAAAATTTCCCTTGCTGTGCAAACAAGGATTGCCAAGAAAGCTTCATTGGAGACACCTTTTCCCCATGACAACTCTTTTGGGAGCGAATTTCCCTTCTGAGGGGTAGATTTTTCTCACTTCGTGTTATCTTATCCCATTCTTAAATCTAAGTCACTTGTAAGTTGAATGTTTGTAACTCAGACTGCCTGTACTGTAGTGTTGATATTTTTGCAATTAGGCATTTTTCAAGTAATTGTTGTTGCTGCTGCTGCTGCTGCTGCTGCTGCTGAAAAAAGAAAAAAACTTCATTGTGGCCTATGAAACTCCATGTCAAATAATTTAGTAAGGTCTGTTCTTAAGGATAAGAAGGAAAGGCACAATAGAGGAGATTTACATTTTCATGTTTTTTGCTAAGAATGAGCTGGCTAAGAAATCTATCAGTGAGATATGGGTTGCCCTATATGACATATAAATGTCTGTATTATGACCATGTTGTCAGTATTCATACCAGGACACTGCTGATTCACATTTCCTGAATATTCACAAACAAAATAACAGGAGAAGTGAAATTAATTTTACGAAATTATGGTAGAAAAGCTGAATTATCGTATTTAGGATAAAACTGGAATTTTGCTTTTACTATCCAAAGTATGAGATGCATTATTTGTACATGTTAGATACATTCTGAAAGTCCTTCTTGTTCAAACTTCATGTTGCCAAAGACAACTAACTTGGAATGATTTTGTGCAGTTTTCAAATGCAGGGATTATTGTTTAAAAGACATGCTAATATAATTTTGCTAGATTAATAACTAACTGTTGATATGCTATTATATATCCAAAATGCATATACAGTGCAATTACTAAACATACAGGTGATCATTCAGTTTGGTCAGTACATATTTCTAAATAAGGCAGATTGTTTCTTGTTTGTAAATAGATGAATATCTGATATTTGTACAAGAACATTTGTTTTAGCTGAAAGACATGATACATGTCCTTTCACACACAATAGTGTGAACAATTCAAAGTCTATGGCCACTGTGATGATAACTGGGTGTGTTATGTTAGCCCAAAGCCATTCTAATGCTTGGCAATTTGAATTACAGATATATATACTTCCCACAACACCAGCTTTTCCCTTGTTATTATATTTAGGGCATTCATCATAAAACTGAAGGTAGTTTGCGCCATAGACAATTTATTAGTCCCTGTATGATCAAATGTTCAACTAAATAAGTATTTTGTCTGAACCTGTATAGAGTGCATATTGCAAGACACTCTACCATGTTTTTTTCAGATATGCTTGTTATCAGATGTGTTAATTTTACATTATGTGTTTTCCTTCTCTGCAGCAATAGGAAAAGGTGGAGCAGAGAAATTTATTCTGATATCACATTACAGATAATTGAAAATCAAAGGAGAAGGAAACATATAACATGGAAAGATAAGTAGGTAGCAGCTGCTCCATATCAGCCATTTGTGATGTGGCCTGATATTTAATATCTGTTAGTAAATATTAGTTTTTGAAACTGCATTCTTGCACTGAAACATGGTATTGTGGTAGCTTGTAGTGGTCTATATCAGGCTACAGCTCTGAAAACATTTAGCATGTGACCCACAGCATATACTTGCAGCTGGTTTTACTGTCTTACAGAACACAGTTGTGAGTGCCATCTCTTGTAGTTTTAATGGCATGTACAACAATTTTGGGATCAGTCTCTTCATGATAAAAGGTAAAGGTTTCCCCTGACATTAAGTCTAGTCGTGTCTGACTCTGGGGGGTAGTGCTCATCTCCATTTCTAAGCCAAAGAGGCGGCCGGCATGACTGCATGGCGTGCCATTACCTTCCCACAGAAGCAGTCCCTATTGATCTACTCACATTTGCATGTTTTCGAATTGCTAAGTTGGCAGGAGCTGGGCCTAACAATGGGAGCGTACCCCTCTCCCCGGATTTAAACTGCTAACCTTTTGGTCATCAAGTTCAGCAGCTCAGGGCAATAACTTCATTTCCTCAAGCAGTTTGTGAACTACATTTTCCTTAAAGGTTTGCCTTTATTTTTTTTCATGTATGCAAAATTGTGCTTTGAGCGAGACATTAGACATCTATGGGGAAGTGTAGGCTTTGTTATTCATAGTTGCAGTTCAACAAAGGATTTCATAACATTTTCAAAATTTCACTGATGTCTCAAATACAATTTGATCATTATACATACAGTTATTATAGTTCTCTTGTAATACAGGACCATGTTTAAATTGTTCCTGGGTTCCTGAGAGTGCACTGCCTATGGTTAGACTGGATAGCCTTCGTTTCTGTTACCAACAAGTCATGAATATGTTTGTGTATTGTGCTTGAATTTGGCAAGTTCTCTGCTTATCAAGTAAGGGATTATCACCGTAATAAAATGTGGTTAGGATCCAATTATTGATTTGCAGTTTCTAACAATCCTTGCCACCTCTTGCATTGCTTTCCCAGTTTGAACATTTGGATTCAAGCAGAGATTCACAAAGCATGAGATAATTATTTAAAAGTTCGGTATGACCCAGAATTTCAATTCATTTTGACAACATATCTCATCAAGTCACTTTTTCAGTAATGTTAATTAGTTGTATGACAGGGATTTGGTACTGTAGGCTCTTCCTGTAGCTATAAAACTGTCCTTCCTTGTCATTAAGAGATACTGATAATTAAGGCACAGTAGCTAACAATTTCATCTGATCTCTTTTAGAAATTCCTCTCACCTCTGTGAACTTTACATTGTAAAGGTTATTAGCATCTTATAAAGTAAAGCTATCAGTTAAATGTACTGCACAATTATTTTTTCATGTCTAAAGCTAATGAGGATCAGTATAGTGTTATAGTTTCAGCATTAGACTCTGACTTTGGAGACTAGGGTTTTGAGTCCCTGCTCAGCCATGTAAACCCAAGTCACAATCTCAAAGGAAGAGAAAAGCAAATCCGCCTTGAACAAATCTTGTCAAGAAAACTCCATGATATGTTGGGACTGACTTGAAGGCATATAACAATAGTAGCAAAAGCAAATATGTATTCACACATTATATGAAAAGTTTTAGGGGATTTCTTTCAGCCCTTGATGTTTTGGAAAAGATGGAAGCCCAATTGACATAATTAGTGTTTCTAGAAAGAAATGTTTGCACTGAGGCAAGAAGAGTCTGGGAATTGCAAAAAAAGAGCTGGCAAAAACTACCAAAATTGGGTATTAATATCATTGGGAAGAGTAGAGTTATAAAAAAAAAATGCTGATGTAAGGATGTTTACAATGGTGAAGAGATGGTGATCTTAGAGGTCAGAAGACCTACACAAATGGAAAAGATTGAGCGCAATCTACCATGAAGATGACAGTGCCCAAGAAGAACAATGGTGTTTCTGGGAATCTCAGATCCTTATGACATGGTGGATTCATGTTATCCTGGGTGAAATTTGGAGGTGGGAAGTCCAAAACACCTAAAGGGCCAAAGTTTGCCTACACTATGGAATTAATCCAGTTTGACACCACTGCTAAATATTAAAAAATGGAAAGAGCTTGTTTTATTTGTGTGTGTGTGTGTTTTTTTAAAGCATATGAGTTAGAAACAATAATGTCAATTTATGGTATATATGATAATGTGTAGTTTTTCATTGTTAAGGATTAGATTGAACAAAAATTATCACTGTCTTTTGATATGATGATATATGTAGCTAAAAGATTTGTTAGGTGTTACTTATATTTGAAATATGGTTAATTTTTTTATAGACAAGATAGACTAGCACATGAGTAGAAACTGAAAGAATGCTGATGAAAATAAATTATTGAAATTGCAGGGAGATATAAATTGTTTGCATTGTTTATGTTTTTTTAATTGAGTGATTGGAAGAAAATCATTAGTAAAGATTATAGAAAGACCGGAAAACCCTGGTATACATTTGCAGCGGGGGGGACCAATGGTTATTTGATGGTTGCTGATTTTATTAATTCATATAAGTCAAATATTTAGATGAAATGTAACTTACAAATCAGGGAGAGGTAGGAGCTTAAGGTTTAAACCAGGCATAGGCAAACTTCGGCCCTCCAGGTGTTTTGGATTTCAACTTCTACAATTCCTAACAGCCGGTAGGAGTTGAAGTCCAAAACACCTGGAGGGTTGAAGTTTGCCCATGTCTGGTTTAAAATTTGACTGCACAGAAGTCATATACCACCCCCTAATGTAGCAGTAGTTTTTAAATATATATTGAAGTAGTAGTCTTGTGTGTCGGCTATGCATTTTTTGTGTTTTGTTTTTTGTTTGTTGATTTTTGGGTACTGTTCCATTATTTGGGCGGAGGCCACTAGAGGGTGCTAGAGAGAGAAGGATAGTCCATTTTATGGGGGTGGAGGGTGGGTTGAAGGAGGAAAATCATTTCCTCCTTTTTTCCTATTTCCTCATTTATGATATGGGAGGGGGGGATAACCAGCTAAAACGGGAAAATGGTTTTCCTCTTTCAACCCCCGTCCCCATAAAATGGACTACCATCCTCTCTCTAGCACCCCCTAGTGGCCTCCACCCTGATAATGAAACAGAATCGTTTTGTGTTATATATTTCAGAGTTATGTGTACGTAACTAGTTTTTATATAGTTTCTGTAGTTTTTTATGTAGATTTTATTCAATAAAAGATATATAAAATGGATTCAAATGAGTGTTATGCAAAACCGCTTAGCACTCAATTAAGGGAGAGCAGGGGCAGAGGACAAAAATGGGCAATGTTTTGACCTTCCCAACAGGATGAGACAAAAGCAAGTTGCTACAGACTCTGCTATCTGGTGGTCCTTCCTTAAGGACAGAACATGCCTCTTCTGGAATTTTAAAATCATCCACATGGGATAGTGAGTGCTTTATTTCCTGATGGGTCAATGTACACAAACATTGTTTCATATACATTTTATTATTAAAAAATACTATGTATAAAATTATTATGTTTATTTATACCCTGTTTTTTCTCTCCACAAGGAGATAAAATTATCTTCAGGCTATGTTTTTAAAGAGTATATCAAAGAATAAATGTGTGCTTGGGTCCCATCTCCAAGGGGTGCATATATTAGTAATTGGTTATGTTATTAATTGGATTATTTATTTATTATGTTTGTGTCTGCAAGCAGCTCAGAATCTCTTGTTGGGAGATGGGGTGGGGTACAAATGAAGTCATTATTATTATTTACAGTAAAATTAATGTGAACGAATACTGTTAAGCAACAGACTGGTTCAAGTTGGGAAAGGAGTACGGCAGGGTTGTATACTCTCAACTTGTATGTAGATCACATCATGTGACGTGTGGGGCTTGATGAATTCAAGGCTGGAGTTGAAATTCTGAAAGAAACATTAACAACCTTACATATGCAGACGATGCCACCTTGATGGATGAGTGAAGAGGAGCTGAGGAGCCTTATAACCAAGGTGAAAGAAGAAAGTGCAAAAGCTGGGTTGCAGTTAAACATTTTAAAAAGCCAAGATTATGGCAACCAGACTGATTGTTAACTGTCAAACAGAGGAAGAAAACGAGGCAGTGACAGACTTTGTATTGCTAGGCGTGAAGACTACTGCAGAGGTGAACTCCAGTCAGGAAATCAGAAGACATTTACTTGGGAGGAGAGCAATGACCAATCTTGATAAAATAGTGAAGAGTAGAGGCATCGCATTGGTAAGGAAGGTCCACAATGGTATTCCCTATAGCAACCTATGGATGTGAGAGCTGGACCATAAGGAAGGCTGAACAAAGGAAGATAGACGCTTTTGAACTTTGGTGCTGGAGGAAAATTCTGAGAGTGCCTTGGACAGCGAGAAGATCCAACCAGTCCATACTTCAGGAAATAAAGCCCGACTGCTCATTGGAGGGAAGGATATTAGAGGCAAAGATGAAGTACTTTGGCCACATAATGAAAAGATAGGAAAGCTTGGAGAAGACAATGATGCTGGGGAAAATGGAAAAAGGAAGAGGGGCCAACGAAGGGCAAGATGGATGGATGTTATCCTTGAAGTGACCTTGAAGGAGTTGGGGGTGGCGACGGCTGACAGGGAGTTCTGGTGTGGGTTGGTCCACGAAGTCACAAAGAGTTGGAAGAGACTAAATCAGTGGTTCCCAACTAGTGGGTCAAGGCCCTCTGGTGGACCATGAGACCTAAAACAAGGTCCATGGCTCTAGATTATTAAATAATGATTTTCTGTGGGCGAGCAAGATGGCGACTACTGGACGGAATATGTTCTGTGTCAGAAACTAGAGCTGATGTGGTCTATCCAATGCTATTTTCTGAATCGGCACCCCAAATAACCAAACCAAATTTAAAGCTGACCAAAAACGGATTCGTAATCCTTTTGGTACCAGTGTTGGAGAGTGGTCCCTGGTCAAAAAACTGCTGGACTAAACAAATAAGCAACAACAAAAACAGTAAATTAATTAACGTGAATGAATACTGTCGAATTAATTAGTGTAATAACACTTTTAGCAGCCAGAACTCAGTGCCATAGAATCCTTGGATTCATAGTTTGCTGAGATTGCAGCAGAAAGCTTTGTAAAATTACAAATCCCAGGGATTTCATAGCATTGAGCAGTAGCAGTGGTGTCAAACTGGATTAATTCCATAGTGTAGGCAAACTTTGGCCCTTTAGGTGTTTTGGACTTCAACTCCCACAATTCCTAACAGCCTACCGGCTGTTAGGAATTGTGGGAGTTGAAGTCCAAAACACCTAAAGGGCCAAAGTTTGCCTACACTATGGAATTAATCCAATAGAGCAACCTTCTCTGCTGTCTTCACCCAGAAAGACCCGCTTTAGTCCTTTATATTGGGAAATGACCTTCCCCCTCTTTTCAGGTCCAGAATGGAATCTCCCGCCCAGGCGCCGCTGAAGAAGGCGAGGCGGACGAGACCAAAAGAGTGGGGAGGGGGAAGACGTATAAACTGTCGAGGAGGAAGGCAGCTGCTTCTCTCCAGCGTCTGCCGAGGCGAGGACGTCTCTAGGAACCAGGTAACCGGGGAGGAGAATGCAGCCCGGACAAACCCTGAGGGGACACCAGAAAGGGATGGGGGACCACCTGGCCTGCTGCACCGGGTTTCTCACTGCTGGCAAGCGATGCTGGGAAGGGAGGCGGGGAGGCGGCTCCTCCTCCTCCTCCTCCTCCTCCTCTGCTCCCTTCCTCTTCCTTGGGCTTCGGGAAAGGGAATCCTCCGGGACCGAGATTCACAGGAGGAGGTTTGTGCGGAGACTTCGCCTCTAACGAGGCCCCAAACGCGGGGGAGTTGGGTGGGTCGTTCCAGGCCCCATCTGGACTGCCATGCAGTCCCGCATCTGAATCCAAATTGCCTGCTGTGTAATTGGCTCATATGGCAGTGAGGACTCCTATCACAGATAGATAATCTGGAATCAAAGACAGGCAGGCCCCGAGTTACAAACGACTCGTAGTTACGAACGGTTTCCAAGTTTCCACCTTGTCTCCTGTGCTATGTTGTTGTTCATTCGTTCAGTCGTCTCCGACTCTTCGTGACCTCATGGACCAGCCCACGCCAGAGCTCCCTGTCGGCCGTCACCACCCCCGGCTCCTTCAAGGTCAGTCCAGTCACTTCAAGGATGCCATCCATCCATCTTGCCCTTGGTCGGCCCCTCTTCCTTTTGCCTTCCACTTTCCCCAGCATAATTGTCTTCTCTAGGCTTTGCTGTCTCCTCATGATGTGGCCAAAGTACTTCAACTGTGTCTCTAGTATCCTTCCCTCCAATGAGCAGTCGGGCTTTATTTCCTGGAGGATGGACTGGTTGGATCTTCTCGCAGTCCAAGGCACTCTCAGAACTTTCCTCCAACACCACAGCTCAAAAGCATCGATCTTCCTTCGCTCAGCCTTCCCTAAGGTCCAGCTCTCACATCCTTAGGTTACTACAGGGAATACCATGGCTTTGACTAGGCGGATCTTTGTTGCCAGTGTGATGTCTCTACTCTTTACTATTTTATCGAGACTGGACATTGCTCTCCTCCCAAGAAGTAAGCGTCTTCTGATTTCCTGGCCACAGTCTGCATCTGCAGTAATCTTTGCACCTAGAAATACAAAGTCTGTCACTGCCTCCACATTTTCTCCCTCTATTTTCCAGTTGTCAATCATTCTTGTTGCCATGTAGGTTACTACAGGGAATACCATGGCTTTGACTAGGTGAGAGGAATTGAGAAGTGAGAGGATCCCTCTTGTCTTTTGCTGAACGTAGCATTTGTTGGATCTTCTTGGTGGATCTGTAGATAGTCTGCATGTTGTGTTTCCTCATCAGCTTCCCTATGTGGTCAGTGGTTCCCTTGATGTATGGCAAGAACACTTTTCCTCTGGGCAGACTACTTCAGCCAGAGAAGTCAGCCCTAGCAGAGCACCTGATGAACCAACCTGGACACAGTGCTATACTAATAATATAATGTAATATATTGTATATACATATAATATTTCTAATGTATTGTGGAAGGCTATCATGACCGGAATCACTGGGTTGTTGTAGGTTTTTTTTCCGGGCTATATGGCCATGTTCTAGAAGCATTCTCTCCTGACGTTTCGCCTGCATCTATGGCAAGCATTCTCAGAGGTAGCGAGGTCTTTCCTGCATCAATAGGAGCATAGTGTCTAGATCAGGGGTCCTCAAACTTTTTAAACAGAGGGCCAGGTCATAGTCCCAAAATTGTTGGAGGGCCAGATTATAATTTGAAAAAAAAATGAATGAATTCCTATGCACACTGCACATATCTTATTTGTAGTGCAAAAAACACTTTAAAACAATACACTAATTCAAATGAAGAACAATGTTAACAAATATAAACTTATTAATATTTCAGTAGGAGCCCCCGGTGGCGCAGTGGGTTAAACCCTTGTGTCGGCAGGACTGAAGACCAACAGGTCACAGGTTCGAATCCAGGGAGAAGCGGATGAGCTCCCTCTATCAGCTCCAGCTCTTCATGCAGGGACATGAGAGAAGCCTCCCACAAGGATGATAAAAACATCAAATCATCCAGGCGTCCCCTGGGCAACATCCTTGGAGACGGCCAATTCTCTCACACCAGAAGCGACTTGCTCCTGACACGAAAAAAACAAAAACATAAAAGTATTTCAGTGGGATGTGCGGACCTGCTTTTGGCTGATGAGATAGGATTGTTGTTGTGTGCTTTCAAGTAGTTTCAGACTTTGGTTGACCCTGAGCGAGGGCCGGATAAATGACCTTGGAGGGCTGCATCCGGGCCTTAGTTTGAGGACCCCTGGTCTAGATCTAGGGAAGTAATGCTACCCCTCTATACTGCCTTGGTTAGACCACACCTGGAATATTGTGTCCAATTCTGGGCAACACAATTGAAGAGAGATGTTGACAAGCTGGAATGTGTCCAGAAGAGGGTGACTAAAATGATCAAGGGTCTGGAGAACAAGCCCTATGAGGAGCGGCTTCAGGAGCTGGGCATGTTTAGCCTGAAGAAGAGAAGGCTGAGAGGAGACATGATAGCCATGTATAAATATGTGAGAGGAAGCCACAGGGAGGAGGGAGGAGCAAGCTTGTTTTCTGCTTCCCTGCAGACTAGGACACAGAGCAATGATTTCAAACTACAGGAAAGGAAATTCCATCTGAACATTAGGAAGAACTTCCTGACTGTGAGAGCTGTTCAGCAGTGTGGTGGAGGCTCCTTCTTTGGAGGCTTTTAAACAGAGGCTGGATGGCCATCTGTTGGGGGTGCTTTGAATGCAATTTTCCTGCTTCTTGGCAGGGGTTGGACTGGATGGCCCATGAGGTCTCTTCCAACTCTATGATTCTATGATTCATTTTCTTATTCGTGTTTGGGCAATGCTGCGTTTGGTGGTCCCTATGTAGACTTGTCCACAGCTGCATGGTACACGGTAGACTCCTGCAGAAGTGAGAGGATCCCTCTTGTCCTTTGCTGAACGTAGCATTTGTTGGATTTTCTTGGTGGGTCTGTAGATAGTTTGTATGTTGTGTTTCCTCATCAGCTTCCCTATGTGGTCAGTGGTTCCCTTGATGTATGGCAAGAACACTTTTCTCGGCAGACTACTTCAACCAGAGAAGTCAGCCATAGCAGAGCACCTGATGAACCAACCTGGACACAGCATATTATTTGAGAACACAGAAATGCTGGACCATTCTCACAACCACCATGTCAGACTACACAGAAAAGCCATTGAAATCCACAAGCATGTGGACAATTTCAACAGAAAGGAGGAAACCATAAAAATGAACAAAATCTGGCTACCAGTATTAAAAAAACCTCTAAAATTACAACAGCAAAACAACAAAAAGGAAACAATCAGGGACAGCTAATCACTTCTCAACAAAAGATTCCCCCAGGCACTAACAAGCCACGCCAAAAAACTGCCAGGCCATCAAATGCTAATCAAGGTGGTCAGTTGAAACATTCACGCCTAGCTCCAACAGACAAGAGTTCTTTCTTCCACCCTGGTCATTCCACAGATATATACACCCAATTTTCTTAATTCCAACAGGTCTCACTACCTCTGAGGATACTTACCATAGATGCAGGGGAAACGTCAGGAAAGAATGCCTCTAGAACAGTGCTTCTCAACCTGTGGGTCCTCAGATGTTTTGGCCTTCAACTCCCAGAAATCCTAACAGCTGGTAAACTGGTTGGGATTTCTGGGAGTTGTAGGCCAAAACACCTGGGGACCCACAGGCCATGTAGAACATGGCCATATAGCCCAAAAAAACCTACAACAACCCAATATTTATAATGTTATAATGTGATACAATATAATAATAATAATAATAATAATAATAATAATAATATATTGTAATTATATATTTTATATTACATGTAAACTTACTAATAATATTAAAATATAATGGTATAGTACAGTATAGTAATATATAATACTGATATTGTACTATGCTAATAATATAATATATTGTACGTATATATATCTTGTAAGCCGCTCAGAGTCCCTTTTGGGGTGAGAAGGGTGGCATATAAATGTCGTAAATAAATAAATAAATAAATAAATGGGGTGAGACAACAGGAAGTGAAAGAAATCTACCCCTAAGAAAGGGAAATGCACTCCTGGAAGAGTTACTATCATGGGGAAAAGGTGTCTCTGGGGGTCCTCAGGTGTCAGCGAATGCTCAGGTGTCGGTGGTGGCTGGGAGGGCCTTCACACAATTAAAGCTATGACCATACCTTGAGAAGTCTGACTTGACCATGGCGGTCCATGCCTTAGTTACCTTAAGGTTGGATTACTGTAATGCACTCTACATGGGGCTGCCCTTGAAGACGGCCCGGAAACTACAGTTGGTGCAAATATCGGCAGCCAGATTGCTAACTGGAGCAAGTTACAGGGAGCGATCAACCCCCCTCTTTAAACAGTTCCACTGGTTGTTGATAAGTTTCCAGTCCCAATTCAAGGTGCAGGTTATCACCTATAAAGCTCCAAACAGTTTGGGACCTGCCTATCTTCGTGACCGCATCTTCCCCTACAAGCCCACACGATCCCTAAGATCTGCTGGGGAGGCTCTTCTCTCGCTTCCACTCCGATCTCAAACGAGCATCCTGAATCGGGCTCAGAAACACATTGCCAGCAGTGTAAGTGCTGTAATGGGGGTGATCCATTCTCTGAATTCTAGTTGGAGTTTCTGGGCACTTTTCAAGGGCAGCCCCACGTAGAGCCCACTACAGTAGTCTAAATGGGGTGTAACTAAGGGATAGAAGCATAGAATTGGAAGACACTATATGGGCCATCTAGTCCAATCCCCTGTCATGCAAGAAAAGCATGATCAAAGCACCCTGACAGATGGCCATCCATCTAGTACCAAATACTCTTTTGAAGAAGTAGTGTTCTGGAACCTATTTCATTAATCACAATATAGGTTATCCGCTTTTCAACTGGATGTAATATATAATTAAATTATATATAATATATAATTAAATGTATAATTCCTTCTCGATGAGACTCCTGCCTTTTCTGTGTTGACAACTTAATTTGGTACGGTTGGTAGGAATAAAGCAAGAAACTATGCAGATGCCAAATGTTGTGAAATAGACAACAGGCTAATAATGAACTTGAACAGCTGCAAAAGATATATAAGTAAAGGGGCAAACTTCCTCCAGCCTATGTCCTAGGGCTCTTCCACACAGCCATATAACCCAGAATATCAGGGCAGAAAATTCCACAATATCTGGTTTGAACTGGGTTATCTGAGGGCCCAGAATCCACACTGCCATATATTCACATTCAAAGCAAATATGTGGGATTTTATTCAGCTATGTGGAAGCAGCCCTAGTCCTAAGCACTGAAGGAGACACCATCTTGATGGACAATAGTATTTGTGTTGCCCATGACCTCTTTGACCTTTGATCTCATGCCTTGATCCCTTTCCTTGCACCATTGACTGAGCAGAATGGAATACCATTGTCTTATGGCTGATATTGTTTCATCACATTTCCAGGGATGTCTTTATCACATGGATTGAATAGATTAGTATTTAAAACATCACCTTATTAGCACAAAGCTGTTGAATGATTCCAAAGTATTTCAGTGAAAACAGTAACACTTTCTGTCTGTTAAAAAAGGAAACTTACTCCATATATCCACAAAGAAATCTATCATTAAACCATTAAGCATTTCATTCCAATTTTACTCAGAATTTTCACACTAAATGAAGAAAATAAATAAAGGCCCTTTAAGTACTGGCACTGCATTTATGAAATAGCTTTTCTAAAGAGCTTTGCCTGGCACAATTTCCTATGGTCTTTTTTGACACTGAGTGAAGATTTTTCTGTTTATTGGGCTTTTAAAATGCTTAATTGTAATTTTATTCTGGCTTCTGAGTTTTAAAATACAATATATTTTAAGCTTTGGTGTGCTGTAGGATTAGAGTTGTATTTTATTTTGCTTGATTTTAAAATATTTTTGGTTTGTTTAGCACTTAGAGAAGGATACTGAGTGGCATACAAGTATCATAAACAAACTAACTAAACAAGAGATCTGTTGAATAATGTAAGAATCAGGCATGTCCTAAATCCATAGCACTGATTTCAGTGAGTACCTCGGATCCCTCAGAGCTATTCTTTAAAAAGTCAGGAAAGTTTTCCAGCTTTTCAGATCAGGTTTTGAGGATGTCCATAGGGGAATACTCCTTCTCACTGAATTTTGCTGTTCCAGCACTAGAAGTTGACAAACACTGAAGTCCAGCATTTGTCAGAGCTGTGGAGAAAGTAAGTTGTAAAGGTGTGCCTTTACAAGATCTCCCCAGCAGATTATCCTGTCTGCAGTCTGCTATCAGTTGCTTCAAGTTGTCAGATCTGAATGTAGAAAAGACACATAGAATAGACTGAAGAATGTTATACTAGCGGAACTTTTTTTGAGTACTGTATTTAGGTTACTGGATGTAGATACTAATATATTTTAGTTTTTCTTTCTTCTTCAGTACAGTCAGCAGCACAAGTCAAAATGCAGAGCACATCCATCGAGCCTGGATCTATCCTGTCCTCAGCAGTGATCACTCCATCAGTAATGGCAACAAATTCAGCCGCTCTTCAGCCTGTCTTGAATGGATCCATTCCAGAATCAGCAGTTGATTGCAATAATTCTGCAGCCAGTCTGGTGGATTCTGTGCCTTCTAATGACTCATTGGGTAAGGAAGTTGATTTTAAGTTAATACATCCTTTGTATGCAACCAAGTTAAGGCCTTTGAAATAAGATGTAGGGATGAAAATAAATTACGTGAAATGGTCACAATAATGGGAAATTTATCAGTATGGGTGAAAGAAAATTATTATGAGTTAATATGGAAATAGTATCTAACACCAATAAAAATAGCAAATATGAATAAAAACTATTCAGAAACTTGCTGGAGAGGATATCAAGAATCAAGAACTTATATTCATATATGGCAGCATTGTAAATATGTAAATAACCTTGGGGAAAAAGATATTTAGAGAGATAGAGGATATAATGAACATTAAAATAAAAATAAGTCCTAGTATAGCTTTATTATCATTATATAATAATAAACAGTTGAAAAAAGAGGACAAAGATGTGATAACAAACTTATTAACAATAGCAAGACTGCTTATAGCAAACAATTGGAAAAGAAAAATAAATATACAAATAGAAGAGTGGTATAAGGAAGTGTGGAAACTGGCAATAAAGGATAAGCTGACATGCAAATTAAAAATTAAAACAGGGATATGAAAAAAAGTGATTTTGATATTGCATGAGAAAATTTATTGAAAGAGGATTCAAAAAGAGAGATGGGAAATTACCTCCACAAGAGGAAATGAAGTTTTGTACAGATGATATATAAAAGAAGTAGCTTGGGGGAAGGGAACATGGTGGTGAGGGTAAGAAAATATGTATAAACATGAAAATTTCTAGTAGATGCAAAAGTTAATGCATTGTAGATTGTACACTGGCTCCCATAATTACCTATATTAATTACCTATATTAATTACCTATAAAGCCCTGTATGCTTCGGGTCCAACCTATCTTCAAAACCGCATCTATGACCGCATCCTTCTACGAATCGGCGCAGGCATTAAGATCTGCTCGGGAGGCCCTTCTCTTGGTCCCACCACCATCTCAAGCATGGTTGGTGGGGACGAGAAAGAGGGCCTTCTCGGTGGTGGCTCCCCGGCTCTGAAATACCCTCCCTAAGGAAATTAGATTAGCCCCCTCTCTTCAAGCCTTTCGAGTGAGTCTAAAAACATGGCTTTTCACACAGGTCTTTGAAGCCTGCATAATCCATGGCCAGTTTGATGAATCATTGATAGTATTGGCCCGCACTTTGAGCCGCCTGAGTCCTTTTGGGGAGATGGTGGCAGGTTACAAATAAATATTACTATTATCATTACTGAGTATCATTACTGACTGTAAAACACTGTAAAACAAAGGATGTATAACAAATGTATTGAATTATGATAAAATAAATAAAATATATTAAAAAAGACTTTTGAAATAAAACAGATAGCACTCAAAATAGCAAAAATGCTATCGGCACAGGAGTGCTGCTTCCATTGCATTGAGCTGTGTTTGTCAAACTTAGCTTTTGAAGTAGTTTTCTGGTGTCGTATCATTGAAAACAACTCGCCTCTCTCTTTTCAGCACTGAAAAGTTTGAAACTTCAGGAAGGGATCCAAGTGTATTTCCTTCCCGAGAACAAAATGTCTCAGACTTTTTCTTTTTGGCAGAAAGTGTTATTTCTTTTGTAACTCTGTAAATAAAATGTAGTTCCTGTCCTTATGTACCAAAACTTTGGGTCCCAAAATAAGAGTGCTTGAAATGAGTGCAAAGCGTATTCGACTGGGGAATGATAGGAGGAATAAAATATTAGGAAATCCAAATGCTAGGAGTCTAGATTTTAGGGAACAGAAGTAATAAGAAATACAAAAACTAGGAAGCAATATGTAGACAATAATTTAGTAATGGCTTTAATTGGCTTTAGTCTGCAGAATTATTAAAATTCAGATTGCAGTAGGTAAATTACATTATTTATTAGAATTTCCAAAACATATTTATATGGCATTGTGTATGGTTGAACAAAAAATAAAATGCATACAATAGCTCACTTTGCAGAATGTCATAATCTGAATGGAGATATTTTTCTAATTTCCTGACCAAAATACTTGAAAATAAACATTTTAGCCTGAATCTCTGTATGTCTCTCTCATAAAATAATGGTTACATTTTTAAAGTAGTGAAGAAGGAGATGTTATATTTAAGACACTCATTTTTAATTTCCAGTTCCTCTGCAAGATAACTTGGCAAGCCCTAAAGAGAAAACTCCAATGTGTCTAGTAAACGAGTTAGCCCGTTTCAGTAGACTCCATCCTGTTTATAAGTTTCTGAATGAACAAGGACCTGCTCATGCAAAGGTAACATAACACTGTTTTTGGATACATGTGACTCTTCCTTGTGTTTTTTAAAAAAATATTTAGCAGATATTCCTTGCTCAGCGTGACAATCCTGCAATCGTGGAATATATCAGTCCTAAAATAAGATATCATTAATGCATGGCCCTAAATGCGAACCCACAAGCCAGCCTTGCCTATACTGGCTAGGGCCATGGGAGTTGTATTCCAACAGCACCTGGAGAGCCAAAMCTGTCCTCCATGTTCCAGAAATTTATATGGTTTTACAATATATATATCCCTCTATTCCTCCYCTCAATAGAAAAAGAGAGGAAGAGTACAACCTCAGTAAACCTGAAGGACTGGACTAAAGCATTTAAAAAAAAAAAAACAGATTATGGCATACTTGAGATATATATATATATATATATATATATCTCAAGTATGCCATAATCTGTTTTTTTTTTAAATGCTTTAGTCCAGTCCTTCAGGTTTACTGAGGTTGTACTCTTCCTCTCTTTTTCTATTGAGTGGAGGAATAGAGGGATGAAAGGGAGGCCAGGAAAGAAGAAAGACCGAGGGGGTGGGGGAGGGAAACAGGAGAGTTCAGTTATACCAGTGGTTCCCAATCTGTGGTCTATGGACCACCAGTAGTCTGCAAGAATGAAAATATGGTCCATGCCCTCACCATTATTACACCATTGCAATGAGAGCGACTGGCCTCGCGAAACCCTCTTATAGTGCCAAGTCAATCGGGATGTCAGGAGGAGAGAGGCTGACCACCTACGAAGGGTTACTACTACTACATCAGCTCCAGATTATTAAATATGGTTTTCTGTGGGCGAGCAGATAGCATATGTTCTGTATCAGAAACTAGAGCTGATGTGGTCTTTTTAATGCAATCTTCTGAATCAGCACCCCAAATAACAAACTGAATCTAATGTTGGAGAGTAGTGCCTGGTCAAAGTGTTCCCTGGTCAAAAAAAGGATGGGAACTACTGATCTAGAGATACTGTACTCTTTTTAGCACATCTGAAACCCCCATTAGCTTTTTAAGAAGCTGCATCACATAGTTGACTTATGTTCAACGTGTAAACTCCAAGATCTTTTTCACAATGTACTATTATCAAGCCAAGCATCATCTATCCTGTATCTCTGGATTTTATTTTATTTTTCTGCCTAAGTGTAGTATCCTACATTTCTTGTCAAAATTCATTTTGTTAGTTTTGGCCCAGCTCTCTAATCTGTTGAGTTCATTTTGAATTATGAGCCTGTCTTCTGGAGTGTTAGCTATCCCTTTCAATTTGGTGTTCATGCCCTATAAACCTTCATCCAAGTCATTAATAAAGACATTGAACAGCACTGGGCCCAGGACAGAACCCTTCCACTAGTCCCTTTTTTCCAGGATGAAGATGAACCATTAGCGAGTCACTTAACCAATTACAAATCCACCTAACAGTAGTATTGATCATGGAGAACTTTGTCAAATCAAGTTGTGTTGTGAGATGCAAAACAACATCATGACTGTTGCGCATGGGTTGTAGGGGAGACTCAGTGGCAATAATCTCCTTTCCTTTCTCCTGCTGCAACCCTTTTTACAAATGAAAAAGCCCTTATATTTGCAGATCAATTCTGATGCAGTTCTGTTCTAATATATATGTAAAAGAATTAATGGGGGATCCCTAGTGCTTTTAAAGAGTTATTCATTAAAGCCCCATCTACATTACCATATAATGCAGTTTCAGAATGGAGTTTAATTGCATTGAACTGGATTATATGAGTTTACCCTGCTCTTTAATCTGTACTGCTATATGATCCAGTTCAATGCAGTTAAACTGCCTCCTGAAACTACATTATATGGCACTCTAGATGGGGCCTAATACACTTACTTGGAAATATCCCTCTTTAAGTACCATGATACTGGTTAATTGATAGATTGTGTTTTCTGGCAAATGGTAGATTCATGGACCTAAACGTTGATAGCAGTCAAGCAGGTAGCAGTAAATGTATGGCAAATTCCAATTGACCCAAATAGGCCCTGCTTTTTTCAGACAAGGTGGTATTCAAAAGATATGGAGAAGGCAGCATGGGCACAATATGCTTGTGCATACAGTTCTAGTGAACTAAGGACCCTTCTACACTACTACATAATCCAGATTATAAATTCAGATTATCTGCTTTGAACTGGATTATGTGAGTTTACGATGCTATATAATCCAGTTTAAAGCAGATAATCAGGATTTTATATACAGTGTAGAAGGGCCCTAAGTATTATCCTGATGTTCTACATCAGAGGTCCTCAAACTTTTCAAGACGAGGGCTGATTTGTGGTCCCTTAAGACTATTGGAAGCTGGACTATAATTTGAAAAGAACTTGAGCAAGTTCCTATGCACGCTGCACATATCTTATTTGTAGTGCAAAGCAAACCTTGAAAGAACAATACAATATTTAAAATGAAGAACACTCTTAACCAACTTAAACTTATCAATATTTCAATGGGAAGTGTGGGCCTACTTTTGGCTGCTGAAAGTCAAATTAATTAGGGTTGTTATTGTTGCATGCCTTCAAGTCATTTCAGAATTAGGGCAACCCTAAATCTAAAGTTTAGGGCAGGGGCTTGAAGGGCTGCATCCAGCCCACAGACCTTAGTTTAGGACCCCTGTTCTACATTATTTCTCCTCCCAGAAACAAGTATGATGCAGGCATAACTGATATTTGGACTAGCATTTCATGAGAATCAAATAAACGTAGTGTTGTAGCCAACAGACTTTCAAGTTTTGCTCGTGATGTTAATGCCCTTACCTGTTCTTCTATGCTTTTGAAGACATTCACAGTGCAGCTGACTCTTGGAGATCAGACGTGGGAAGCTGAAGGAAGCAGTATTAAAAGGGCATATCATTCTGTTGCAAGCAGAGCTCTGAGTGAAAGTACCCTCCCCAAACCAACACCTAGACCACCCAAAAACAATGTTAATAATAATCCAGGTATGTCACAGTTACGCTTTCTACAATATTCATGAATGTGTTCTGCATCAGGTAACTTAATTTCAGCTGTAATTTATGGTAAACACAAAGAATTTGGAAAACCTAAACCAACAGGATGGATGGATAGGGGTGGAAAGTGAATGTTTGTATGAAAATGTACAGCAATTAATCTGGTTTATTGTAGTAGAGACAGGTGACGATCTGAAAATGCAATTTCTATAATACATTAATTTTGTGAAAAACATGACCAAGCACAATATTAATAAAGCTGTGCCATTATTTTTTAAGGTGGGAGACTAGTTTAATAAATATTTGTCCAATACAGTCATAGTCTGTCTTGTCCTTTTCTACATACAACCTCCAGTATTGTGGCCAAGGAATTGGGTGATACAGGTATATCTCAGTTAACCAAGTAAATGTCTTCCTATACTTTACTTTTTAAAAACAGAAAATTTAATACCAGGGATAGAAATAATATGAGAGAAATAGGGATAGATTCCTACACCACAAAAAACAAGAGCAGCACAACACGTTTCAACAAACTTGTTATTCAGAACTAACATTATACACATGTGATATTTAAAAAGCCAATTCTGGTTAGCTTTGCACAAGTAAATACTAGAAATGCTTTGAATCTTCTAGAGACCACCTGGAAGCTTCTTTCAAAATGCATCTTGGTATTTTTTTTTTCAAGAGCCTCCGCTTTCTTTGCTTTTTATTTTGGTGGCAAAACATACAGCTCTTTGCTTTTTTGACATGCCAGGGTATCTAGTGAGGCAGGTGAACCTGCTTTCCCCCTTTCTTTGTTGTGTTCTTGACATGTGCTCAGTAAGTGATTCTGGAGATAGCTGTTTACCCTGCTTGTTGTATGTAAGTACATGCCTCTACAATCACCTAGAGGAGAATTGTATTATACTCTAGGTCAAGCTTTATTTCATTGCTTACTGCAGACACACTGCTACCATCCAGCACTGAAAATCTGTCTTTCACTAACCTTCCTTCATCATACTCACAATGCCAGGACTTCAAAAACCTGCCAGAAGATAATAAAAAGGTAGCTGGGCTGGGCAAGCGCTCCCATAAAAAGTCTTTGTAAGAAGGAACTTCTTTTTCAGAGGCTTATTAACTGGGGTATGCCTGCAATATTTTGATTGGGTGTAACTGTGTCCTGGCGGAACCTGGATGAATCAGGAGGAATCGGGTTAAAGGCTGGAAAACACATGTTTAAAAGCTGCCCTTTAAACCTGATTCCTCCTGAGAAACACACACCTTTCAATGCTTGTGTAAACCTGCAGGCATAGAAAACACGTGTTTTCCTTTCCTCCTTCCTGTCTGGACTCCCTCCTGCCCCCTATTTCCCTCTCAACTTACCAGAGGAAGTCTTCCATGCAGGCCTGGAGCCTTTGCTTCTCTTCCTCCTCTCAACCAACAGAGAGCCTTGGAGGAGAAATCTTCTTCCACTACTCAAAGCCCTCTTTCAGCTCTTTAAACGGAGGGGAGACGGAAGGAGTCTTGTTGAAGTCTTCTCCTGTAAGTGCAGGGGAAATGGAGGGTAGGGAGGAGGAGGCTGGCAGTGCCAGCGCTACCACCGCTGATCTTGGATCAGTAGGGGTGAGTATCTGGACACTACCCCTGCAAAATCCTGGGGTTTAGGCCAGCTGTGTGGCCTCCATCCCAAGAGGAAGTAGGATTTAAAAGCCCAATTCAGAGTAATGGTATTCTGAATTGTTCCATTAAGAGTGTCTTCTGTTTGCTCTGGTTTTGAAGCTCTGTACAGATTATTTTCTTTCACAAGTAAAATAACATTGAACTTTGTGGACCCTTCACCTGCTGGGCAGTTGAATGCTTTTGCCTGAATCCTTTTCAAAAACTTCTGTAACCGATATTTTTTTTTTAAAAAAAGTGTGGCAGATTAGCATAGCATAAAAATGTGTAACATATGAAGCTGCCTTATAATAACAAATATCTCTAGACTATTATTTTGAACTTTCAGTGCTAATGACTTTGCTCCCAACCATCTCTTCCAACAAACTCCCAACCATCTCTTCCAACAAACTGCCAGACCTGTGTTTCCTTGGCCGAGGAGCCTATGGTACCGTCTCTATCAGGCACAGATTATTTTGAGTGGTAGTATCTTAAATCCCTCTGCATGTAAAGGATGTATTTTTCCCAAGCTTGAAAATATTATTTCTATGGCCATGTTGGCTAGTGTATTCTGAAAGTTATCATCCCCTGAAATAGCTTTTCAGATCCCTGGTTGTTCCACTAAGTGGCAGCATTCTCTTGTTAAAGTCACTATGTTTATTTGCGAGAGCAGAGTCCTGGGTGGGGAAAAAAACTTGGTAGGAAAAGGAGTTAGCAGTCCCTCTTCTAATGACATCATTGTAATCAGATTTGCATTCTCACGAACTCAAAAAATAAAAATGAAGATCTCATAGATCTCTCAGGTTTTTGTATGTAACTTTATGATTGCAGGCAGTCCCCAAATTACGAACAAGATAGGTTCAAAGAGAGAGAGAGAGCTTTGAATAGAAGAAGGAAAGGTTAACACCCCTGTGACATTTGCCCCTGTAACATAGTGAAGGGTAGCATAATAAAGGGTTGACACCCCTGTGGTGTTTGTTTTGCTTTCTGTGCCCCTGTTCAAAAGATTTCGCCTCACTTTCTGTCCCTGTGACCTTGGATTTTGAAAAATTTGGCTTGTCATGGAAACAAAGATTGGTAATCAAACTTCAGTTGAGACACTTTTTCCCCATGATAACTCTTTCTGGGGGTAGATTTCTCTCACTTCCTGTTGTTTCACTCCCTTTCTTAACTATGAGTCGTTTCTAGGTCGAATGTTTGTCACCGGGGTACTGCCTGTACATGCAAAAGCTTGCAGTTGGTTTGACCAGCAGATGGTGCTCAAATCTTTGCATACTGATAAATTTAAAGTCATTGTTCCTAAATTAGGAGAAAAGCGGTGCTAGGTATAACTGGCTTCTGAAAACAACCACATGTTGACTATTATTATTTTTCTTTATTGGTGGAAATTACATATGGATGTATGGAAATTGAGATCCTTACGCTCTGTACAGATGGGAATTCAATGTTGCTAGCATTGGGAAATTACTCAAAGAAGATAGTTGCATAATTGATGCATGATACAGAAATGAGGAGGAGTTTACATGTCTCTACTTTAGAGGTTGTGCAGAACACCTTTATGAAATCCATGTTCGTTAATCATGAAGATACACCTGCATTTCTCCTTTGGTTCTGAAACAACACTGCTTTCTATAGCAACAGGTGCCCATCTTATTTTTGCCTTATATTGACAAAAATAAGATGGGCACCTGTTGCTATAGAAAAGACAAGGCATAATTTTATTTATGCTGCTAATTTTATAAGGCTGTTAGGGACAAGGTTTCTAACAACTAGGGTAAAATTAGAACCTGAATAGTAATGAAAATACTCATAGCCCCTCCCCCAATCCCACCCAACCTCCCCAAAGCCTGTCCCATATCCTTCCCCAAATGCCTGTTGCCAGAAGGCCAGCAGGGATGGGGACATCCTGATCTCTCTTGAGCAGGAGTTCCGCAGTCTTGGAGCAGCCCTCTCCCATGTTTCCACCAAGCGTACTTGGGCCGGTGGTTTCCCCAAACTTTATTCCTTTTTCTCCAATCATTATCTTTTTTCCAAGACAATCTAATTGCTGATTGGTTTAATATATAATGGCATGTAAATAATTCTGTAATGCACATGTATTGGATTTTCCAGAACTTGTATTGGTGACAAAATATATCTAGATAGTCTTATGTGACTTGTACATACTTAAAAACCTCCATTTAGAAAGAAAGTTTCTTCCTTGCTTCTTTGATTTCCAATTTTGCAACATCTGTACGAAGTTGTAAAGAGAGTGTGTGACTTAACCTTTCTCTCTAGAGCATTCTCATTAAAGTCAACAGGAGTCTGGTCACAACTAAGAAAGCTGGAAACTGTGCTGATTTTTGCACTTATTAAATGACGGATATGTTTACCTCTTTTCAACAGGCAGTATTACCCCGACAGTGGAGTTGAATGGTCTTGTTATGAAAAGAGGAGAGTCTGCCATCTATTGGCCACTAGATCAAAAACCAGTTCCAAATTACAACTTTCGAGGCATGTACAATCAGAGGTTTGTGAATTTTCCAGTGCTTCTTCAGTTGCTGTCACTCCTATGCCATGTCATAAGGCAGATTTAACTGTCTCATTTCTATATGTTGCCTTTCATTATTTGATATCTTATGTGCTTCAAGTGTGCTCTGGATTCTGGAATTTCCTTTTCCTTCTGGATGAGATTGAGAAACTGCATCTGGAAAGTTAGCAGGAAACGGAACTATTCTTCCTTCCCAGTAGATATTTATGGCATTCTTCAGTTTGCAGATGTTGTTACTCGATAGCATTTGGCTTATTAATAATAATAATAAAAATCATTCTACATTTTACAAACCTCCTATTTAAAACATTCCTAGGAGTGGATGCGATCTCCCAACAGCTGTTGTGAGAGAATAGCAAAGCTTTCCTTTTCCTATTCTGACTGGTCTTTGCTCTTTTCAAATGCTGAACCACTGCAGGAGTTTGGGAAAGTGAACTGTAGGGATCCTTATTCCATTTGGGTATCTCCCTGCCTTGATCAGATAACTTGTGTTGTTTTTGCCAGTCAAAGGAAGCCAGATATTGTTAACTTTCATCTGATTTTCAATTTTGTAATCTAAAGAATAATTGTCAAACCATGTTGCCATCTTTTTAACCATCAATGTTGTATAGACCCAGAAAACCTGGGGTGCTCTAAAAATGTAACTACAGTTTAAAAATCCCCATAGAGTGACCCTTAAGGCTATGGAGAAACTGCTTTAGGAATGTTCAGCTGACTGATCACTGCCTTTTACGGTTAAAGTTCAGGCTATCTAAAGTAGCGTATCTATCTCGATATGAGCATGTGCAAGCTCTAATGGGGCTTCTTTTGGTTCTGTGGCATACTAAGGAAATGGCAGGATAAAACAGTTGTTGCTATCAGTCTTATTATTTGTATTATTTGCTGGCAAATGTAATGTGCAGTGGCAAAAAGTACTCTTTGTAATTTGGCCCAAAAAAGGTGCACATTGCAGTAGTTGCCTGCTTATAATTCCTTCTTTAAAAACAAAAGTGTGAGAATGTCAAAGCTTTCAGCAATGGAAAATAAAACCTTGGGGTGCATCTATACTGTAGAATGAATCCACTTTAACTGCCCTGGCTCAATGCTATGGGGGATGTAGTTTGGGGACATGGGGACTTGCAAAGAATACTGATGCCTCACCAAACTACAAATCCCAGCATTACACAACATTGAGCCTTGCAAATTAAATTAGAGATCATTTCCCTCAGATAGGAGCTCCAGGTGCTCCTGAAGTAGTTTCCCCTTTTGCTTTGGATCTGTACTAAATTTACTGTATTACATGAATCTGATGTGCATCCTAATTTTGGGAAGGTAATTTAGCTTAAAAAGGTGAGCATTAGATTTGATTAAATATGATAAGGAAAGATGAAGTACGTTGGCCACATAATGAGAAGACAGGAAATCTTGGAGAAGATGAAAATGGAAGGAAAAAGGAAGAGGGGCTGACCAAGGGCAAGATGGAAGGATGTTATCCTTGAAGTGACTGGCTTGACCTTGAAGGAGCTGGGGTGGCCACGGCAGACAGGGAACTCTGGCGTGGGCTGGCCCGTGAGGTCACGAAGAGTCGGAAGTGACTGAACGAATAAACAACTAAAATAACACTGTATTTGTATATGGTATTATTAAAGGTCTTATCAAAATTAGCCTATGTGAACATTACTCCAAAGAAATCTATAGTCATGTTTGCAGGTGATACACACACACACACCTTGATTTTCTGTTATTTATTCTTATTATACTGATGTAATCAGAATGAAGATCAGTATCAAAGCTGACTGCAATCTGTCAGTAAATACAACAGATGTATATCTCCAAACAGCCATTCTGGTGTTACCTGGCCGCCTTCCTTGTGTTACTTGGAATTTCTAAGACACAGTGGGCAGCCATATTACTGAAGGATACAGGAGATAGTTTCCAATCATGCATTTCAGTATAATATAGATTTGAGCAGTTTTCTTACCTCCCAATGATTATTTTTTCCTTTTTCATCCAGCTGCCAGAAAATTACTGTGAAATAACTCCCTGGGGCCATAGCAGCAGAATGGTGCACAACAGGGAGATTTCATATAGACGTCACTCTATTCCATCATTTAGAGCAGTGGTTCCCAACCTGTGGGTCCCCAGATGTTTTGACCTTCAACTCCTATAAATCCTAACAGCTGGTAAACTGGCTGGGGAGTTGTAGGGCAAAACTCCTGGGAAATAACAGGTTGAAAACCACTGATTTAGGGCATCCTTATGCCAGCAGCAGTAAAGAATTCAGGAGAATGCAGATAATGTAATTTTGTGAAATGATATGGATTATGTGTAGAGATGCTGCCACAACATATCTTTTCCCGATAGGTTTGTGGAGCCCGAAGGAACCTAGAATCAAGGGACTGTGTGCTTTGGAGTAGTTTGGACTCTTATGCACTACCCTTAAGACTTGAACTTTAGGAGAGTAATCCTACTGAACAGGACTTAGAAAATTGGCTAAAACTGGTTAATAACTCTCCCAGGACTGTCAGAAGCCAGTATAAATGTGCCATTTGTTTTCAAGTCATGTATGGTTGAATCTGTGGATGCAGAATCTATGGATACGGAGGGCTGACTAATGTCATAATGTCCCCCATGACCTTCTGGCAAACAAACTAGTCAAGTGTGGGCTAGGCAGAATTATGGTTAGGTGGATCTGGAATTGGTTAAGCGAATAAACCCAGAGGGTGCTCACCAATGCTTCCTCTTCATCCTGGAAAGAAGTGATGAGCGGAGTGCAGGAGGGTTCCGTCCTGGGCCCGGTCCTGTTCAACATCTTTATTGATGATGTAGATGAAGGGTTAGAAGGCATGATCATCAAGTTTGCAGGTGACACCAAATTGGGATGGATAGCCAATACTCCAGAGGACAGGAGCAGAATTCAAAATGATCTCAACAGATTAGAGAGATGGGTCAAAACTAACAAAATGAAGTTTAATAGGGACAAATGTAAGATACTCAACTTAGGCAGAAAAAAATGAAATGCAAAAATACAGAATGGGGGATGCCTGGCTGGAGATTAGTATGTGTGAAAAAGATCTTGGAGTCCTTGTGGACAACAAGTTAAACATGAGCCAACAATGTGATGCGGCAGCAAAAAAAGCCAATGGGATTTTGGCGTGCATCAATAGGAGTATAGTGTCTAGATCCAGGGAAGTCATGAAATTGTAGAATCATAGAGTTGGAAGAAACCTCGTGGGCCATCCAGTCCAACCCCCTGCCAAGAAACAGGTGGCCTTGATTAGACCCCACCTGGAATATTGTGTCCAATTCTGGACACCACAGTTGAAGGGAGCTTCTGACAAGCTGGAATGTGTCCAGAAGAGGGCAACTAAAATGATTAAGGGTCTGGAGAACAAGCCCTATGAGGAGCAGCTTAAAGAGCTGGCATGCTTAGCCTGAAGAAGAGAAGGTTAGGAGGAGACATGCTAGCCATGTATAAATATGTGAGGGGAAGTCATAGGGAGGAGGGAGCAAGCTTGTTTTCCACTGCCCTGGAGACTAGGACGCGGAACAATGGCTTCAAACTACAAGAAAGGAGATTCCATCTGAACATTAGAAAGAACTTCCTGACTATGAGAGCTGTTCAGCAGTGGAACTCTCTGCCCTGGAGTGTGGTGAAGGCTCCTTCTTTGGAGGCTTTTAAACAGAGGCTGGACAGTCATCTGCCAGGGGTGCTTTGAATGCCATTTTCCTGTTTCTTGGCAGGGGGCTGGACTGGATGGCCCACGAGGTCAACTCTATCATTCTGTGATTCTATAATTTCATAATCTCAGCAATAGTTTGGCTACAGTGCTCTTTATATTATTTTTGTTAAGCACTTTTAATGACTGTAACTATATGTAACTACACAGAGACTACAAATGCTTGAAACTCACAACATTTTCCTAACCTTGGCCCCTTCCACATAGCTGTATAAAATCCACATTGCACTGGATTATATGGCAGTGTGGACTCAGATAACCCAGTTCAAAGTAGATATTGTGGATTATCTGCCTTGATATTCTGGGTTATATGGCTGTGTGGAAGGGCCCATTGTCTCACTTTGAAATGATCTCAGTGCTTAACATGTGTTGTTGATTGCTTCATGCAAGAATTTCTTCTGCTTCACCACTCTGCCTAGGCTGTGATTCCTTATCTTGCCCTTTTCCCCTCAATCCATTTTCTTTTCAATGTCAGGTTCACTGAAACTGACCCTACCAAGCAGTGCACATTGTCAGGGTTGCCAGATTTCTTTCAATGCGTTTATGGGGTCCACAAAATAAAGGATGCAGATAACTGTTTTTGGAGAGGAAGAAAGACAAGATGAGAATGAATCTAGAATCACAAGTTGGGGAACGAGGCAAGCAGTGATGGTAAATCTAAAGAGAGAGATAACACTAAGATCTAGGATAGGATCAGAACCAAGTTTACATCTGTGGAGTCCAAGAACAGGTATTACAGAAAAAATAATACTACACTAGAATTCAGATCAGAAGGAAAACTAGGATATTTGCATGGCATAGTGAAATGTTGTTTCCTTAAAGGACATTGATGCCTTTATCTCCAGGAGCATTGCAGAGTAGTCTCTGGGTTAAATTGATCTGAATGTCTGTTGTAATAGCAAGTTCTGATGGTTTGTCTACTAAGCCATTGGCTGCTGGTTGAAGTCTTTCCACTCTCCCTAAATTCCTTCAACTGATCCCAACTCTGGAAAATTATGATGGGAAAAGAAAGGAAGTACATTTCTTAAACCTAATGGTGTCATCTCAACTCATCCATCTTTAGAAGACTGTCAACACTGAATCAGAATGTAAACTGCGTTAATAGTGCTTAATTTATCTGCAGAGCACCTCTTAGCTTGCCACCACTACCCACCCCCTCCACGCTCATTCTCTCTCTCACACACATTGTTTTAATGGAATTGCTGAGTACAGCTGTGCTGGTGCTTGTTTCTAGGAAAGGAAAAGGAGGAAAGTCAGCCC